CCTCTCTGTGTGTGCCTCTCTTTCTCTTGCTCTGGCTATCTTTCTCTCTCCCTCTTTCTCTCTTCTTCTCCTCTCTCTCTCTCTCTCTCTCTCTCTTTCTCTCTCTCTCTCTCTCTCTCTCTCTCTCTGTGAGGTTTAGAAACACTTGTATCCTGTGTGTGTGTGTGTGTTGGCCGTCTGTCTCTGGCTCCTGACAGCTGCACTTAACTGTATATACACACACACACACACACACACACACACACACACACACACACACACACACACACACCCTCAGAAGCTCAGACACACACACACAGTCCATTAAGTAGAGTCCATTACACGCTTCCCTTCTCAGCATATCTCATAACACTCATCTACACGTCTTTTCCACACCTCCTTCAGTCCCCCCTCCCTCTCTTTCTGTCTCTTTCTCTATCTAATGCTCGCTCCCTTTCTTTTGCTCTCTCTCTCTCTCTCTCTCTCTCTCTCTCTCTCTCTCTCACTCTCAGGCCTTGTGTCTGCACAGCTGTGTATCAGCTGTCCCTTTTAGACACTTCACAACAAACCGTGTCATTCTCCAGGGTGACAGCTGTCACCTTCCCTCCTTAAAGGGGAATTCCACCAATTTTTAAAAATTTCTGCATAATTAAATGGCTGAGGTGTAAACAAAGTCATTCAGAGTGGTTTGGTGTGAAATGCTCTGTTCTAGAGAAACTTACTGAGTCAGGACTGTCCACAGTAGTGGTCATAGGAACCAGACGTCTGAAGAGTTTGTTGCCTTTAAAATCACAAATTTATTACATGAAGTGGTTATGAATACGCTGCCTGAGGCCTGAGACATTGTTTTCTGAAGATTTATAATATGGATATAATAACTCAGAAGTGCCGCTGTAATTTGTTGAGCAGAAACTGCTTATAAAGCGAAGGCATTTTTGCATTTTGCATTATTATAATATGTTCAATGTTACTTGACAACGTTAAATAACACCCTTACCTTTAAAATCATTGTAATGCATAGCCTCTCGTGGCTTATTGCGTTATTGTACTAATGAAGATGTGAAGACAATAGTAGATCATTCTCTCGCCTCCTCAGAAGACACGTCCTTCACCAAGTTTAGACCGAGGTCTCTTTAAATACTCTCTCAACACGCTCTCAGTCATCCACTCTGAGGGGTCTGAGGCACAAACTGTTCTTCCGCCTGTTGTGTGCAATTACATTTTCTCCCAGAGCCCCGGATCACAGAAGCGTGTCGGTTTTTAATGATGTGCTGTCTGAGGGGTCGAAAATCACAAGCACTCCAAATTGGATTTGGGCCTTGGGATTTCTCCAGATTCTCTGAATGTTTTAATAACGTTATGGACTGTAGTTGGTGAAATTCCCCGCGATCAGGAACGTTGTTCTTAAACTACCGGACTGTTCGAAATGATCACCTGTCAGATTAGCAGTGGAAAACTGTGACTATTAGAGCTAAGACCTTAGTTTGGGGGTCAAAACATGAGAAAAACCTGCCTCAGTGATAATGCTAACTTCTGCTAGGGTCCCTATTACAGTAGTTTGTTAGCGCCAAGCTAATGGCAGTTTGCATTAACACTTTTTTGATGATTTTGAAGTTAGCTTCGAATTTGCTGTTCCACCTTAAATGGTGCAGCAGTTACATCCTGGCACATTTAGACACCAGAATGTAACTGCATCGTTTAAGGTGGAATAGAAAATCCGTAGGCACCAGAATGAAACTGCTACACCGTTTAAATCGGGATGAAACTGGAAAAAGACCGTTCTAAACTGCCTAAACTGATGACATTTATTTGGCCCCTGAACAGAAACTGTGGTCCCCGTGAGGCCCCACCTACAAAAAAAATCCTGCAGTCACCACTGACCACAACTATTTTACCCTGAATCAACATCTTTGATGGCTAATGAACTTTGTTGACTAGCTGTAACCTTTACTGTTCGTCTGAACTGCGAGACCGAGGCGGGAGACTGTAGATTACACGTTTTGTAATTACAGGGTAATGTCTGTGTTTATTCTGCAGCTGGGTGATTGTGCTCTAATGTCATGCTAATGGTAGGCAGGGCGCGTCGCTCAGGTGAATTAAAGGGGCTTTAAATGAAAAATGCCGAAAGCCGGGTTTTAATGCAGCCAGGCAGCCTCACCTGTTCCGGCTGCTCTAATGAAGCGCCATCACGACCGAGCGCTAATGCATACACGCACACACAAAGAGGGTTTTCGTTTTCGCCCCGGTGCCACTCGCTCAGATCACAAATCATCCAGAAGGTTCTGCCTCGCTGGCTGTGCTTAGACAGCCGGGGTTTAAAGCCTCAGTCAGGAGCCACGGAGCGGTAATTGCCTTGTGGCTGTGGCACTGTGCTTTTCAGAAACACCGTAGGATGAGCTTATTTCACATTCATAGACAGACTTTCGATGCAAGGAGCGTTGATCAGTCACAGAAAACAGCTTTTTAGGGCTGAAGATGGTTCTTCTCACCATTCGCTCCCATTCAGCTTATACCACAGTATGCTTTCAGGTCGCGGCTAATGAATGAGTTATAACCTGTTATAACCGCTTAACCTCTTAAAAGAAGATCGTACATATTTCTATAAAAATGGACAATTTTATGTCGCATACACTCTTAAAAAAGATGTTTTTTTATTCAAGAACGTGGTTCTATATGGAACCATGGACACTCAAGGAACCCTTTGCATGATTTAAGGGATCTTTACATGAAAACGTTCTTCAGATCGTTGGAGAATGTGCTGTAGATGGTCTGTTTTAGAAGAGGTCATGTATCGTACATATTTCTATAAAAACAGACAATTTTATGTCGCATACACTCTTAAAAAAGATGGTTTTTCAAAGGTTCTTTATTCAAGAAAATGGTTCTATATGGAACCATGGACACTCAAGGAACCCTTTGCATGATTTAAGGCTTCTTTACATCATGAAAACGTTCTTCAGATCGTTGGAGAATGTGCTGTAGATGGTTCCTTTTGGACACAAAAGGATTCTTCTACTGTTATGATGTCAAACTTGTAACAATAGAAGAGGAATCCTTTTGGGTGCTATATGGAACCCTTTTCAAAAAGGTTCTATATAGAATCGTCTTTAGCACGTTCATGCACATTCTCCATCGGTCTGAAGAACCTTTTCATGATGTAAAGGACCCTATGTGCTGTAGATGGTTCTATATGGAACCTTTTTGAAAATGGTTCTATGTAGCACCCAATAGAGTTCTTCTGTTGTTACAATGTCAGACTTGTACTAAATTGAGCCTTTTTCAGAAAGGTTCTGTATAGAACCATCTGAAGCACATTCATGCACACTCTCCATCAGTCTGAAGAACCTTTTCATGATGTAAAGAACCCTATGTGCTGTAGATGGTTCTATATAGAACCTTTTTGAAAATGGTTCTATGTAGCACCCAATAGAGTTCTTCTGTTGTTACAATGTCAGACTTGTACTAAATTGAGCCTTTTTCAGAAAGGTTCTGTATAGAACCATCTGAAGCACATTCATGCACACTCTCCATCAGTCTGAAGAACCTTTTCATGATGTAAAGAACCCTATGTGCTGTAGATGGTTCTATATAGAACCTTTTTGAAAATGTCTCTATATAGCACCCAAACAGGTTCCTCTACTGCCGTGATGTCAAACTCGTAACAACAGAAGAACCTTTTTGGGTGCAATATAGAAACCTTTTCAAAAAGGTTCTATGTTGAATCGTCTACAGTGCATTCATGCACATTCTCCATCAGTCTGAAGAACCCTTTTATGATGCAAAGAACCCTTTAATCATGCAAAGGGTTCTTTGAGTGTCCGTGGTTCTTTTAAAAGAGTGTAACTAAAAACAGTTTTTCAGTTTCAGTTTTTTTAGTTAAACAGATGTAAACAAAGTCATTGAGACTGGATTGATGTGAAATGCTCTGTTCCAGAGAAACTTACCGAGTCACAGTGGTGTTGAATGGAACCAGACGTCTGAAGAGCGTAATGCCTCTAAGAGCTCCCTCACAGAAAGCTATTATATGAAATGGTTATGGATATCCTACCTCAGACAATGTTTTACGACAGTTTTGAGATAAGGTTATGGTCTAAAACCATTTTTTAAATCCATTCTAAGGCAAAATAGTACCTAAAGAAAACATGTTCTCTCAGATTTAACACTATTTCACCATCAACTTTACCTAAAATAACTCAGAAGACGCGTACAGGCTCAGTACTCGTTTTGAGTAGTAAATAAATGGCTATATTTGTGTGGTAGACACTGCGACCCCTGGTTCCTATCAGCACCACTGTAAAGAGACCATTTCACATCAAACTGCAATGACTTTGTTTACGTCTCAACGATTAAGTTTTGCAGAAAAAAAACATGGGTGGAATTTTTTCCTTTAATAGCTCAACACGATATGATGCTGTCGCTGCTGTCGGATCTCCGCTTTTGTTGTTTTTCAGTTTTTGACATAATCTAAAAAATGCCTGTTCCCCTTTTTACTGTGTATAAAGTTCATGATGAATGGACCAAAAGAAACGGCCCCAAATGACTTGGAAAAAATGTCTGGTTCCATTGACTTACATTAAAAATAAAGTGTGTTTTTTGCTTCTCCTGTAAAGTTACCGTTTTGAAGATACGAGGTTTTGCAGCGAAGTGCTGCTAATTTAGGTGTGCGGTCTGCGCGCTAATTTGTGGCTATGAGATTCAGTTACTTGGTAGCTTCAGACACCGAACATGTCTTGGCTGATCAACTACTTTTGGGCAAAGGGGGGGAAAGTGATATTGATTTTTCACCAAACTACCCTTTTAAAGAATTAGCTGTGTGTGTGTGTGTAGTGGACGTGCGTACATATGTGGTGATGTTGCACTGACATGCCAAAAATATATACCAGCATCTGTATATATATATATATATATATATATATATATATATATATATATTTCAGGCGTTGACCATATTCAACAGCATAGTGCAGTGAAGTTAAAAGGCTCTCTCTCTCTCTCTCTCTCTCTCTCTCTCTCTCTCTCAGGTATGCCTGCGGCACTCACTCCAGACAGGTAACCGGGTGTGTCGCTGTTGCCATGGCAACACGGATACTGCCAGTGTTGCCTCTCCTCCTTGCTGCCTTCCTGGTCTCCTTGACGACAGCGGAAGACCACGAGTGGCATTTTGACACGGGTAAGAAAGAAAAGCTAGCTGGAAAACGCTAGTGCGGCTAGAATTCACCTTATGGCAGCTTTCAGGGCGAAGGTCATGTCGTGTGGGTGCTGGGGATGAAGTGAACGGAGTGGAAACTACATTCCCTTCCTCCTCAAAACCCACTAATGCAAGTCGGTGCCCGTGTGTTTGTCTTCATTCTGTAGTCGGCATCATTAGGAGCTCCGGGTCTAAGCTGGTTTTCTGTATGGGACAAATGACTGACATTGGTGAACTAAAATGTTTCAAAGTCAGTACATTTTGGCGTATGGACATTTTTCAGCATTTTTCATTGGATCCTCTGAATTACGAGGTCGTTAAGGAACCGAAATCCGAATAATGCGACACATAAGCCAACACTGCTGCACACTGAGCTGGATCATAAGACTCGCCAGAATACCCCACTCATCCCAGCAAGCTTGCAGTTTGAACAGCTGATGTTGGAATATAGTAGTTTTCTGGTTTAATCGTAGACTTGCTTTCATATACCATCATTTCTGTGCGCAGTGTTTTTGTTTACTGCAGGATGTGACAGCTACGGTTTTAGGAATGCTGTTTATTTTTCCCCATAGAGAAAACCAGGGTAGACCCAGAGTTCCTAATGTGGCTAGGATGCCGACTACAGAAGGACACACGACATTAGAGGTTTATAATGTACACCGATCAGGCATAACATTATGTCCTTGTTTCTACGCTCACTGTCCATTTTATCAGCTCCACTTACTATATAGGTGGACTTTGTAGTTCTACAGTTACAGACTGTAGTCCATCTGTTTCTCTGCATACTTTGTTAGCCCCCTTTTACCCTGTTCTTCAGTGGTCAGGACCCCCATGGACCCTCACAGAGCAGGTACTATTTGGGTGGTGGATCATTCTCAGCGCTGCAGTAACACTGACGTGGTGGTGGTGTGTTAGTGTGTGTTGTGCTGGTACGAGTGGATCAGACACAGCAGTGCTGCTGGAGTTTTTAAACACTGTGTCCACTCACTGTCCACTCTATTAGACACTCCTACCTTGTCAGTCCACCTTGTAGATGTGAAGTCAGAGACGATAGCTCATCTGCTGCGGCACAGTTTGTGATGGTCATCCTCTAGTCCTTCATCAGTGGTCACAGGACGCTGTTGGCTGGATATTTTTGGTTGGAGGACTATTCTCAGTCCAGCGGCGACACTGAGGTGTTTAAAAACTCCAGCAGGACTGCTGTATCTGATCCACTCAGACCAGCACAACACACACTAACACACCACCACCACGTCAGTGTTACTGCAGCGCTGAGAATGATCCACCACCCAAATAGTACCTGCTCTGTGAGGGTCCATGGGGGTCCTGACCACTGAAGAACAGGGTAAAAGGGGGCTAACAAAGTATCAGAGAAACAGATGGACTACAGTCTGTAACTGTAGAACTACAAAGTGCACCTATACAGTAAGTGGAGCTGATAAAATGGACACTGAGCATAGAAACAAGGAGGTGGTCATAATGTAATGTCTGATCGGTGTATGTATATATTTTTTATTTTATTTTTCTCATTTGACAGTTATCATTGGGTGACTTCCAAGAGAAAAGACAGAATAATAAAAACAGATCTAGAATCCAAATGCTAACTGGACCATTTTACATGCATACCTATCACCTTTTACAAATCCTCTTAATTGGTTGTACTAGTTGCCCTGATGGGGTATTTTAAGATCCATTTCTCCCAGTATTTTGTAAAGCATTCCATCCTCAGCTGTAACATAAATGTAAGTCTTTCCACAGAGTAAATTTCATGGACAATTTCAAGCCACTGTTTTTTGTTGGGGGGGTCCTGCTGCATCCATTTTCTTGTTATGGCCTTTTTACTGGCAACCAATAATATTTTAAGTACGTATTTATCAGAGGTTTATGATATTTAAATCTATTGTATATAGTGTAAAGTGGAAATGAGCTTCAGTCTGATGTTTCTCTGCACTCTCGCTGCAGCATTTCATAGCCGCTCTAGCTGAGCTTTATACTTTATACTATTAGTCCAATGTGCAGTGGCCTTTAGCCAGCTGCAGTAGCCTGTATGCTTCTTTCTTTGGACTAAACGGATCACAAACTCTGACCAAAATGTAAGAAGATGGGTATTAAAATTGAGTTTTTTACACTTTCAACACTTTTTTAAAAAGTTCTAAAATTCTGACTCATCCCTAGAAGTCGTGGGTGGTACTTCTACTTCTGGTACTTGGTGGTACTTCTCTCAGCTGTGAGTTTTGTCATAACCGTTGTACCAGTATGCCACAAAAAAGCACAAATAACGCAACCTACAAACAAGCTAATGTTAACCTGTTTAGCTGAGTGGCTGAGTCAGGGATGTTTGCCATGTTTTTAAATGGAAATGAAACCACAGCAGACCCTCAATCACCTCCCGCTGTCTAGACCATTTCATCTGAAGTGGTCTGCTTTGTTTTCAAGACAGTGGACATAAAGGAATGACCGGTCTTTTGGGGTTAGCCCCTCGTACCACCCGAGTCAGCTGTAAAATATGATGCCGCGGTCGAGGGCTTGTGAACGGAACAAGCCGTGAAGCAGCTGGTACTGAATTTTCCAGATTCCAGCAGCGTCTGTCTGAACGAATTTCCCATTCAACCTTAAATGGTGCAGCAGTTACATTCAGCTGCATATACAGTTGCAAGAATGTAACTGCTGCTGGATTTAAGGTGGAACGGAAAGAAACCTTCCTTCTAAAACTTCCCTCCTAAAAATGTAGACGTGAAACAACATTTAGCGTCATGAGCGTCAGAAAGCGATCTTGCCAGAGGTTTAGCTCTGTACTGTTCAATTTTGTTTTTGCTGTTTTGGACAAAAAAGGTTTACATTGGTTGTTAAAAAGCCAAATGAAGGCCAAAAGAAGTGAGAAGGGAAAGTAGATCTGGATTATGAGTGTTTTTCATGGCGGCATCCGTTCGTTTCTAATCCTTTCTCCTCTTACCTTCGCATGCTAAACCTGCTAAAGGCTCTTTTCCAGTTTTCCTTGGCAGCTGTTTCAGAAGAGAGAGAATGCATGCGAGAGAGAGAGACAGTAAAACAGAAAGGAAATGTGCACTGCAGACTGCGTCTGAGCTGTGTGTGTGTGTGTGTGTGTGTGTGTGTGTGTGTGCGCGCGCACGTTCGTGTGCGTGTCTTGGAGGGAAGCGGTGAGATTTTACTTGTCCTTGGAGCGTCAGACGAGAAGGATGAGTGTGCAGAGAGGAAGCGTCTGAATTAGTTTTAATGAAGGCAGGTACCGTCTGAGCTGAGCTTTAAAGAGGAATTTCATCCAATTTTTCTGAGCTTCTGCATAATTTATAGTTCAGTTATTTCTCTTTTGAACTATGCATTTTTTTTTTAACATAGTAGTTTAATCATAATCGGGTGTCTGCAGTTATCTGATTATTCAAACGGTCACGTAAACAGCACACTCTGATTTCTTAGATCGGAGTAAGGTCTAGAAATCCGATAAAGAGAGCCGGACTTTAGCTCAGTCATCAGATCTCTCAGTGCATGTAAGCTCTTATAAATGAAGTGAAATTATAGTAACTTATAGTAGCGTCCTGCAACAGGTGGCTACAAACAACAAACAACGGTGCAATAAACCTTCTTAACAAGCACCGTTAACAAATTTAGAAAAGATTTAATAACCTACTTGCTGGGATTCTTGTCAACGTCATTCTTTCTCTGCATGTTCTTAAGAAGAAAATCACAAAAACTATAGACGGTAATCATGAAGATGAGTAGACAGGGGCTTTAAGTTTTTACTGACCTGCATAGAACTGGAAAAATGCAATCAGTGAGACATTTAATGGCATTCATTGAGTTTCTTCAGAGTTGGCTGTTTGTCTGAGAATAAATCTCTGAATAAATCTTAACAGTTTAATCACCCAGACATTTTAAAAATTGGTGAAATTCCCTGTGCCCCAGTGTATTTCCTGGAAAACATGATTCAAGTTGATTCAAGTACGCACACACACACACACACACATTATCTAAGCTGCTTATCCTTCTCGGTCACGGTGGTGCTGGAGCCTATCCAGGCAAGCATTGGGCGGAAGGCACCCTGGACAGGTCGTCAGTCCATCACAGGGCAGACACACACAGACATATACAATCACACACACATCCAGACCCGGGAGCCATTTGTCATGTCCAATTTGCCTGACTGCAGCTGCGTCCCAATTCAGAGTCTGCGTCCTTCGGAGGCTGCATTTGAAGGCCGATTGCGTCACAGCGGCACGACTAGACTGTCCCGTTTCGAAGTCCTTCTTTTCCATGGCAACGATCAGGTGCGTCCTTCGCCAGCCAACATATCCCGAGGTTCATTTTGTGCCGGCGAGGATTCGAGAACATGGCAGCGTCAGCAGAGGAGCGAATGGTGGCTGAAGAGTGCAGAGTCAAATAGCTAACAATACAAATGTTAAAATAGCCAATGTGGTCTGAAGCAGAACTTACGCTAATGTTTTAGGGAGCAAAGAGCCGACAGATAAAAAAAAACAGCTCTAATAAAAAAAAAACTAAAATCAAAATTTCTGGCTCCATCTTTATAGAACCTTAAAGGAACTTGACAGGAGCGGTGTTCCGTGATGCGCCGGTAAGGGTGGGAACAGAGGTGCTGTGACGCAAACAGGAAATCCGCTGTACAGCAGACCATCTCATTTCAGTTCTGCCTTCGCGTGTCTACGCAGCCTTCGAAGGACACGGTCTACTGAATGGGGACACAGCTTGCATGTCTTTGGACTGTGGGAGGAAACCCACAAAGACACGATAATTAAAAAATACTTAGCATTTTTTAACCTTGTCTTTTGCATCTGACAATGATTTCCCTGGACTTACAATAGAACAGACAAAATGCACCCGTGAGAAAGTGCTGAAGCAACAGCCTGTTCACTTCTATTATAATCGTGTTTGAAGTCAATGGATTTTCTGTTCTCATCTAAATGCAGGAAGATGCATTGAATTAACTGTTAATGTTAATTGACCATACGCTACAAACACATCCGGTAAAGATTCGGTTGAAAAAGGCTGGTGTTTTCCTTTACTGTGATGCTACTTCATCAGCTGAACCGAAGTGGACGCATGCTCCAAGTTCCAGAGAGAAGGGTGTGCAGGGCGAGAGAGATTAGAGTGATGGAGAGAGAGGGAGTAAGGGACAGAGAGAGGATTTTATTGGCAGTGGAGTGATGATGTAATGAAACAGACACCTGTGTGTGTGTCTGTGTGTGTGATGCTGGCAGAAGGGCACGGTTTGTCTTCCAGCCTTAACATTCTTCTCCAGTGACTCATGGACAGCAACTGAGTCCCCTCCCTCACTGTGCATGCACACAGACATGGCTTGACTTTTATTGTATTACATTACATGGTGAGGATTTTTGAAACACGTACATGCTGTACGCTGCATTTCTGCTAAAGCTGCTGCACTAGTCCGTATCAGTAATCCATCTGTTGGTTAGATTTTAGACTAATTCTGAAAACCTGTTCTGTAACTCTGTAATTCGTAACTAATGAAGGTATCTTTTCTTCTTATTAGTGATTATTATTACACGATTTATATTCTTCATCTTTGCCAGATTTTTGTCCAATAACTCATCCTGTAGTTTTGATACAGATAACGAACCACCTCCGGAATGCATCTCTGTCTTGTCTGAAACCATTTAAATCCAGATTTTTTCACATAGGAATGAATGGAAGAAGGCTGTTGTTGCAACCACCTAGCAACACCTCAGTAATTCACTAGGAATATCATAGAAACTAGATGCACACTAGCAACCACCTGGGATACTACAACAGCCACCTAGAATCACTTGAGCAGCCACCTGAGATACAGTAGCAATTACCTAGCAACACCCTAGCTACCATCAAAGGTATCACTGAGCAACACGTTAGCAACCACCTGGGATGCCATAATAAACCGCCCAGCATTGTTTGAGCAACCACTAGGGATACAAAACAACCACCTAGGATAACATAGGAACTGCTCATTAGCACCCTAGCAACCATGTAGGATAACATAGGAACCGCTTAGCAGCACCCTAGCAACCACCAAGGATTACATAGGAACTGCTCATTAGCACCCTAGCAACCATGTAGGATAACATAGGAACCGCTTAGCAGCACCCTAGCAACCACCAAGGATTACGTAGGAACTGCTCATTAGCACCCTAGCAACCACCTAGGATAACATAGGAACTGTTAGCAACACCCTAGCTAACAGTAACAGTAACAGTAACCACCAAGGATGACATAGGAACCACGTAGCAACACCCTAGCAACCACCAAGGATGACATAGGAACTGTTAGCAACACCCTAGCAACCACCAAGGATGACACAGGAACCACGTAGCAACACCCTAGCAACCACCAAGGATGACATAGGAACCACTTAGCAACACCCTAGCAACCACCAAGGATGACATAGGAACCACTTAGCAACACCCTAGCAACCACCAAGGATGACATAGGAACCACGTAGCAACACCCTAACAACAACCTAAGATAACATAGAAACCGCTTAGCAACACCCTAGCAACCACCAAGGATGACATAGGAACCACGTAGCAACACCCTAGCAACCACCAAGGATGACATAGGAACTGTTAGCAACACCCTAACAACAACCTAGGATAACATAGAAACCGCTTAGCAACACCCTAGCAACCACAAAGGATGACATAGGAACTGTTAGCAACACCCTAACAACAACCTAGGATAACATAGAAACCGCTTAGCAACACCCTAGCAACCACCAAGGATGACATAGGAACTGTTAGCAACACCCTAACAAAAACCTAGGATGACATAGAAACCGCTTAGCAACACCCTAGCAACCACCAAGGATGACATAGGAACCACTTAGCAACACCCTAGCAACCACCAAGGATGACATAGGAACCACGTAGCAACACCCTAACAACAACCTAAGATAACATAGAAACCGCTTAGCAACACCCTAGCAACCACCAAGGATGACATAGGAACCACGTAGCAACACCCTAGCAACCACCAAGGATGACATAGGAACCACGTAGCAACACCCTAGCAACCACCAAGGATGACATAGGAACTGTTAGCAACACCCTAACAACAACCTAGGATAACATAGAAACCGCTTAGCAACACCCTAGCAACCACAAAGGATGACATAGGAACTGTTAGCAACACCCTAACAACAACCTAGGATAACATAGAAACCGCTTAGCAACACCCTAGCAACCACCAAGGATGACATAGGAACTGTTAGCAACACCCTAACAAAAACCTAGGATGACATAGAAACCGCTTAGCAACACCCTAGCAACCACCAAGGATGACATAGGAACCACTTAGCAACACCCTAGCAACCACCAAGGATGACATAGGAACCACGTAGCAACACCCTAGCAACCACCAAGGATGACATAGGAACTGTTAGCAACACCCTAGCAACCACCAAGGATGACATAGGAACCACTTAGCAACACCCTAGCAACCACCAAGGATGACAAAGGAACTGTTAGCAACACCCTAACAAAAACCTAGGATAACATAGAAACCGCTTAGCAACACCCTAGCAACCACCAAGGATGACATAGGAACCACTTAGCAACACCCTAGCAACCACCAAGGATGACATAGGAACTGTTAGCAACACCCTAGCAACTACCAAGGATGACATAGGAACTGTTGGCAACACCCTAGCAACCACCAAGGATGACATAGGAACCACGTAGCAACACCCTAGCAACCACCAAGGATGACACAGGAACTGTTAGCAACACCCTAACAAAAACCTAGGATAACATAGAAACCGCTTAGCAACACCCTAGCAACCACAAAGGATGACATAGGAACTGTTAGCAACACCCTAGCAACCACCAAGGATGACATAGGAACTGTTAGCAACACCCTAGCAACCACCAAGGATGACATAGGAACTGTTGGCAACACCCTAGCAACCACCAAGGATGACATAGGAACCACGTAGCAACACCCTAGCAACCACCAAGGATGACATAGGAACTGTTAGCAACACCCTAACAAAAACCTAGGATAACATAGAAACCGCTTAGCAACACCCTAGCAACCACCAAGGATGACATAGGAACCACTTAGCAACACCCTAGCAACCACCAAGGATGACATAGGAACCACTTAGCAACACCCTAGCAACCATCTAAGATAACATAGGAACTGTTAGCAACACCCTAGCAACCTCCTGATATACCGTAGTAACCGTCTGGCTGTGCCCTAGCTCCTGTTTAGATACTTTTCAGCAAACAGGTTTTCTGTTCTTCACACACAGGGAGACGTGTTGAAATGGTGCGACTGTACGATACAGGTGGAGCAGATGGAGACTGGGTTGAAAAAAGTTTTTTGTTTTATTTGCTCTGGGAGCTGAATGTTGTGTTGCACAGCTAGTGGAGGAAAAATTGCGGCAAGGTTTTATAGGTAGTTTGAGACGACTAACCAAACCTCTCTCTACACAGCTAAGTGTCGCTATGCTCTGGGGATGGAGGACGGAACGATCCCGGATTCTGACATCACATCATCCAGCGCCTGGTCAGACTCCACTGAGGCCAAACACGGCAGGTGAGGAAGAATGTGTGTGTGGGAGAGGCAGGAAAGTGTAGAGTGTGTGTGAGTGTGTGTGAGTGTGTGTGAGTGTGTGTGTGTGTGTGAATCAGACGTAGAGACAGTATTAGATTACAGGAGATGTCAGTAAAGGCCTGTTCCTGATATAGAGCATTAGGTAATGACATTACAGCACTGTCTGTACAGACTAGACCCCCACACGCCAAAACACACTCACCCTTACTCACATACAACACAGTGCAGAAATCAGACGCCGCCCTTTGTTTATTTCGTTTCTGTTTAAAACAGCCATTAAGTACAAGTTCTTCATTTTTCAGTGTCAAGTAAATATAATATCTTTTGATTTCAGTATTTAGTGTGTCACTCTTTGCCTTTATTACAGCTTCTAGTTCTTTTCAGGAGGCTTGCTTTCAGTTTTTTAATCTGCAGGGATATTTTTCTGCACTTCCAAAGTTCAGTCTTAGACATTGGTTGCTGTAACCCAAGTAACCCCAAACCCATTCAGTGATGTTGAGGTCTGGACTCTGGGCTGGTCAGTCCACTGTTCTGAGAACACCAGCAGCTTCATTGTTTGATCTGCAAATGTTCTTTTATCTATTTTCTTATTTTAGAAACAGTGAGTTCAGTTGTTTTTTTAGAGGGGAAGGATGGACTGTGGACACATTTGAAGTACTGTTAAATACTGTTGGGGCGGTTTTGGTGGCCCGTCAGGTGGTTCTTAGGAATCCCATTTTCTCTGTATTTTTTATCTTTTTTGAACTCCAGTTGTGGAAACTCCTGTTTTTTTGCCGCGTTGACCTTCAGTTTCTTCATGCAAGTGGATTCTCTGATTTCTAATCACCTCAGAAATGTATCCTGATACTTACAATTTTGTTATCATGAGTTAATAAGATAATTAACTATCTCAAAATAACAGTCCAGAAAATTATAACTACCTCTTGGCCTCTCTGGTCTTTCATAGCCAGCTGACCTTTACAATGTGCCAAAATTTCATGATGAACAGGCCAATAAAAATGCTCCAAAAGTGCTAGGAAAAAAGCCATCTCCATTAACTTCCATTCAAAATTAAGAATGTTTTTTCCTTCTCCTGTAAAGTTCACATATATATATATATATAAGCAAAAGAACACAAGAGGGAGTGTGTTATCGCAAATAACATCACGGCTGTGATTTGGTCGCCGTAGATCGTCACAGCCGTGATGTTATTGGCGATAACACACTCCTCGAGTGTTCTGCTGCTTTTATACAACAGTTAAATAAATAAAGTAATAAATTAATAAACTGGGCCGTGAACGCGGCGTTTAATATGTTTTAATGTTCGCAGTTCCTTCACCAAATTATAGTTCCTTAACAAGCAGCTTGTTGCTACATCAGAGTAACGAACTCCGCCCACTCGCTGCTCAGTCTGCTGTAAGCCTCACCTTTTGAAGTACAGACTGAGCCATAAAACTGCCACAATATCAAGTTCAGCTCAGTTTTGTCCATTTTCTTCCAGATCAGTATTAATGTTGTTTTGGTCCAGCCAGTCTGTAAAGCATCTTACAGCCCATTTAGTTTGGCGAATGGTGTTGGGTTCATTTCTGGCTGATTCCAGGTTGTTTAGCTGTTCTTCTGTCACAGCTGCCGACTGAAAAGCTGCTCAGTGGTGATGACAGTTTGGGAATTTAGTGTCGTCTCATCTTCAGAGTCTGACCAAATCGGCTGTCGGTCAAACGTGATCTTAAAAGTGTCCATTTTCTGTTTGTGGCAAAGTAAGAAGTAAAAATGTTCAAATGGCTTGAGCATCTCCTACAGCTGTCAAAGTCTCAGCAGAGTGATAGTGTTTGTGAAAAAAACGCTTAGAACGCTTCTCAACCAATCAGCTCGCATGGCCTGAACTGACTGTTGTATATGTGTGTGGGTGTATACATATATGTATGTGTGTATATATATATATATATATATATATATATATATATATATATATATATATATATATATATATATATATACATATATATCGCTGCTGTCGGAACAAAACATCGTATCTCCAAAACAGTAACTTCACAGAAGAAAGAAAAAACATACTTTACTTTTAATGTAACTCAACAGAACCAGAATTTTTTCCATGTAATTTTGGGCCGTTTCTTTTGTCCCGTTCTTCATGAAATTTACACAAATTCAAATTATGTCATATATATATAAATATAAATTTGGGTCATAATTTCAAAATATCTTCACTACATTCACTGTGTGCTTCTTCACATCAGTTTACAGAAAGAGAAATGTTTCTAAAGGAGGGATGGAGCTGTTGAAGCGGTTCCTGACCCAAGAATCGAGTCATCACAGCAGGAAATATTAAAGTGAAATCAAATGTACACAGTTTACTCTTTTACCCCAAATGTAGTCAGTCAGCAAGAAGTGTTTGGTGTCTGAAGTTTCCTTCTTTAGCTTTGCACTTGAGTTACGAGGCCAAAAGTATGTTGCATAGCCAAAAGCAGTAGTAAGAACCATCTGGAAGCCTGGAGTTTGTCCATGTTTTGAGATAACAGTTTGCCATTTAGTGTCAGAACCCATATAAACAAGTCGATTAGAGATCACTTAACAAGTCCACACAGTCAAGTGAGTGATGATTTAGGCACGCAGTCAGCACAATGCCAAACGATACTATCTTAGCTACACTATATGGCCAAAAGTATATGGACAACTGACCATCACGCCTTGCTTGTTAGACGTCCCATTCCAAAACCATGGGGATTACTGTGGAGTTGGTCCGCCCTTTGCAGCTGTAACAGCCTCCACTCTTCTGGGCAGCTTTCCACAAGATTTCTTGGAGTTTGTCTGTCTGAATTTGAGCCCATTAAGTCAAAGAGTATTTGTGAGCTCAGACACTGATGTTGGACGAAAGGGCCTGGCTCGCAATTGTCGTTCCATTTCATCCCGAAGGTGTTCAGTGGGGTTGAGGTCAGGGCTCTTTGCAGGCCACCGGAGGTCCTCCTCACCAAATCCCTTTGTGCATAGGGGCTCAGTCATGCTGGAACAGAAAAGGGTCTTCCCCAAACTGCTGGAAGCAGATTATTGTATAAATGTCCTTGTATGCTGCAGCATTAACATCGCCCTTCACTGGAACTAAGCGGCCCAAACCCTGAAAAACAGCCCCAGCTCATTATCCCTCCTCCACCAAACTTTACTGTTGGCACTGTCCATTCCGGTAGGTAGCGTTCTTCTGGCATCTGCCAAAGCCAGATTGGTCTGTCAGACTGGCAGAAGCTTAATTCATCACTCCAGAGAACCCGTTTCTAGTACTCCAGGGCCCAGTGATGGTGTGTTTTACACCACTCCAGCCGACGCTTAACGTTGGACATAGTGATCTCCTGCTTGTGTACAGCTGCTCGGCCATGGGAACCCATTTCATGAAGCTCCTGACACACAGTTTTTGTGCTGATGTTGCTTCCAGATGCAGACTGGAACTCTGTAGTGAGAGATGCAACAGAGGATAGGCAATTTTTCATGCTACACACTTCAGCATGCAGCATCCCTGCTCTGAGTGCCATATAGTGTACATTAGCCTCATGGCTTTACAGTGTCAGTTCCTTTTTGCAATAATGGCATGATTTTGATTGGTTTTGTTCAGTTTGGCGTTGCTTTACCACTAGAGATTAGTAGTATAAGAACCAGGGGTCACCATATATATCCAATTTATTTACTATCCAAAACCGCCAGTGAACCTACACGTCTTCTTCTTTTTTTGTATATAATCTGGATCTATTTTTGGGGCCTGTTTTGCTATAAAATAATGTCTCGGGCATCAGGCAGTGTATTCATTACCACTTCATGTAATATCTTCCTGTGAGGGACGTCTGGTTCCTATCAGAACCACTGTGAGTAATTCTGACTCAGTAAGTTTCTCTGGAGCATTTCACACCAGACCACTCTGAGTGACTTTGCTTACATCTCTACAGTTTAATTATTGTGAACATTTGAAAGGTCTGTTCAGTTCCCCTTTAAATTTAAAGGGAAATTCAACACAATTTTTAAAATTTCAGTTGACTTGGTGAAAAGTCACTCAGAGTGGTTTGATATGAAGTGGTTCATTGTTGAAAAGCTTACTGATTTCTTCACAGTGGTGGTGATGGGAACCAGGGGTTACAATGTCTACAACGCAAATATAGACACTTTTATTTTTCAAAATGACCAGTGAACCTATGCAAGTTTGTATGTCAGATGCTGATAACAGTCAAATCTGGGGACTATTTTGCTTTTTCAGCACTCTGCATGGATTTAAAAAATGTTTTAGGCCTGCAAAATTGTGGAAAACAGTGTCTGTTGATGGTGAAAAGAACCAGAGGTTTTGATTTTATTATTGTTATTGTTATTGCGTTTTATTAAAAACACAAACATTTCTTTGGATTTCGAAAGTATATTTCGTAACTCAAAACTATGATAAAACATTGAGTGCATTTACATGCACTTAATAATAATAACTGCAGAAAATCTGATTTTGTCAGTATTACAATCAATGTGTTTACCCGCACTTTAGTAATCAGATAATGGGGAAACTCCAGGTCTACGTGAGTCAGGCAGCAATCAGATTTCTGCTTTACAACCAGCCAATGAACTCACAGAAGACGACGCGACGTAAACGTTACGTAAAACTCAAACTTCATGCCGCTGCTTTTTTTTTAAACATTGCCCCACTTTACCTGAGACTATGAACATACATCACCTAGAAGATGAAGAATATTTAAATAGTTAATTTCGTCAAGCATGTATTTGGTTTCAGCGTCGCTCCAAAAGTTTTTTGCTGCGTCTCGCGGCGACACTGCTTGCTTATTTCTGGTACCGCGCTCTGTTTTCACACATGCGCAGACTGAGAACTGCGAAAGAAATCCGAGTAAGAGTTTACGTGCACTGAGAAATCTGATTACTGAGCTAAAATCCAGCTCTCTTTATCAGATTTCTTAATGGGGTTTCTTAATTGGATTTCTGGGCCTTACTCATCTAATAAATCACAGTCTAGTGTTTACATGACCATTTGAATAATCAGATAACTGCAGAAATCCGATTATGTTTGGAGTATTGAGTGCATGTAAACACACTCAATGTTTCAGGCGTCAGGCAGTGTATTCTCAACCATTTAGGGTAGTAACTTTCCGTGAGGGAGCTTTTAGAGGTGGACGTCTGGTTCCTATCACCACCACTGTGAACAATTCTGACTCTAGAGCTGAGTATTTCACACCAAACCACTCTGAATGACTTTGTTTACCTCTTAACCATTTTATTACAATTAACCAATTAAAACAGGCGGAGTTCCCCTTTAAAGACTTGCATGTTTAGTCAGAGTGCAGTGAACTGCTGGGGTACTGTACCTAAGAACTGTGGAAATATACTGTGGTCTGAGAACCTCGAATGGGTTCCAGTAGATCTCTTCAGTTTGTTAATGAGTTAGCGATGTGCTAACACATTCTGCATCAGCTCTGTAATGGTTTTGAGTCACTGCAGACCCTCATAGCGTGTATGTGTGAGATTATAGTGTGTGTGTGTGTGTGTGTGTGTGTGTGTGTGTAAGGTCATGGCAGTGTGTATGTTATACATTATCAGCGTTAGTGTAGCTCCGCCCACCGCTGTCAGGCTCAGCAGCAGCTGCGGAGATTCTTTACAGATTCTTACACTGAATGTGTGAGTATCTGGGATGTTGGTATCTGAGTGTGTGTGTGTGTGTGTGTGTGTGTGTGTGTGTGTGTAAGAGTGTGAGTGTCACATATACATTAAAAATTAACGATGTTCTTTTCTCATATAAAATGGTCATTTCTGACACTGGAGCTTTTGTTATAGTAACGCTGATGTACTCTCTCTCTCTCTCTCTCTCTCTCTCTCCCCCTGTCTTTCTGTTTGTCTCTCTCTCTCTCTCTCTCTGTCTCTCTCCCTTTGATTCTCTCCGTCTATCTTACTGTCTCTCTCTTTCGCTCTCCTACTTTCTCTGTTTCTCTCTGTCTGTCTCTCTCTCTCCCTGTCGCTCTCTCTCTCTCTCTCTCTCTCTTACTCTGTCTCTCTCTCTCTCTCACTTTCTCTTTCTCTCACTGTCTTTGTCTCTTTCTCTCTCTGTCCTATCTGTCTGTTTCTCTCTGGCTCTCTTGTTGTCTCTTTCCTCTGTCTCTCTCACTGTCTGTCTTTCTCTCTCTCGCTCTGTTTCTCTCTCTCTGTCTCACTATGTTACTCTCTCTCTCTCGCTGTCTTACTCTTTCTCTGTCTATTTCTTATCCTGTCTGTTTGGCTCTGTCTCTCTCTCTGTCTCTCTCTTTTTGTCTCTCTGTCACTCTCACTGTCTTACTCTCTCTCTCCCTCTCCCTTTCTCTTACTATGTCTGTCTCTCTGTCTCTCTCTCTATTTGACTGTCTCTCTCACTGTCTTACTCTCTCACTCTCTCATATTCTCTCTCTCATACTCTGTCTGTCTGTCTGTTTCTCTATCTGGCTATCTCTCTCACTGTCTTACTCTTTCACTCTCTCTATCTCTCTCTCTCTCTCTCTCTCTCTCTCTCTCTCTCTCTCTCCCAGGTTGAGTACAGGTGCGGGCGATGGTGCGTGGTGTCCGGCGGGCTCTGTCTTCCCCAGCGGTTCCGAGTACCTGCAGGTGGACCTGCACACGCTGCACTTCCTGTCTCTGGTGGGCACGCAGGGTCGCCATGCCGACGGGCACGGCCGCGAGTTTGCGCGGAGCTACAGGCTCCGTTACTCTCGCGACGGCCGGCGCTGGATCACCTGGAAGGACCGCTGGGGTCAGGAGGTCAGCGAGAACAGTTCAGCACTCTCTCTCCTGACTCGACCTCTTCTCTTACTACTACTCTCTCTCGCTCCCTCTCTCTCCCCCTGTCCCTCTCTCTCCCCCTGTCCCTCTCTCTCTGTCTCATAGTGATGGGCCTTTTGAGTCACTTTGTGGTTGAGGGGACTAATTGGTTACTCAGCAGTGGAAAGTGAACAGGCGAGTGTCGGAGCTGGGCTTAGTTTTCTCTGTTAAACGGCCAATTAAGCGGCTGCGTTACAAATAAATCAACTAATGACTCAGTGTCATAGTAAAACAGTGGTTTATGTATATCAGGGCTGCACAGTATATTAGGAATGCACAATCGGAGTTCTCCAACTGATCTGTGGTACTATTTTATGATGTAAACAATGTGGATAACGTGCATTGTATTCAAATGTAGAGGTGAGCAGTATGACAATATTTTACTGCTCTCCTGGTACATTTTATTATCATGTTACACAATATGCTTTTCTGAGCACATCAGGGACTGACAGTACACTGACCAACTACATGTTTCTTTAAAATGAGAGCATAATTAATCCCCTAATCAATGTCCTATATGAAATCCTAAATAAACAACACTGTATTCACATGTTTTGATGATCTGTGAAACGTGGCATATTCATCCATATCATACCAATAAATCCATATCGCGATGTATAAAGTGATGTGTGGATATGTTTGCATGTTTCAGGTGATCTCGGGGAACGAAAACACATATGACGTGGTTCTGAAGGACCTGGGTCCCCCCATTATCGCCCGCATGGTCCGCTTCTACCCTCTGGCAGACCGTGTGATGAGTGTGTGTCTGAGGGTGGAGCTGTACGGCTGTGTGTGGAACGGTGAGCTCCTCAGCAAATCATTTACGCCTCTGAGTCTGAAGTATTTTGGTCTCATTAGGGTATTTGTTTCCGTCAGATGGACTGAAGGCCTACACTGCACCCATGGGTCATGTGATGCACCTGTCAGGCTCCCCTGTTTACCTCAACGACTCTATCTATGATGGCAGCATCGAATCAGGGTAAGAAACGCACAAAAATCTTAACTGCAGTCTCATGGTCACTATCCATGCTCCTCTTTCCTAGTCAGTGAAGGCTAAGCAGCTTTACAGAATGGCAGAAATCCCATTCTGGGTTACGCTACACGACGTTTACCCCGATTTTAGCCCTGATTCTCAGTCTGGCTGAGTCTGTGCTGGTCGGCTCTAGTCTGTAGATTTTTGGGTCAGTCTGAGTCGACAGTTGGAGAGAGAGTCGAGTCGTGTGAGGGACGCAGACTCCAATTTTTGGGTCAGTCTGAGTCGACATTTGGAGAGAGTTGAGTCGTGTGAGGGTTGCAGACTCAGATTTTTGGGTCAGTCTGAGTCAACAGTTGGAGAGAGAGTCGTGTCGTGTGAGTGACGCAGATTCAGATTTTTGGGTCAGTCTGAGTCAACAGTTGGAGAGAGAGTTGAGTCGTGTGAGTGACGCAGACTCAGATTTTGGGTCAGTCTGAGTCAACAGTTGGAGAGAGTCGAGTCGTGTGAGTGACGCAGATTCAGATTTTCGGGTCAGTCTGAGTCGACAGTTGGAGAGAGTCGAGTCGTGTTTGAGGGGCGCAGACTCAGATTTTTGGCCTCTCGTTCGTGTTTCAGACCAGTCAGAGTTTATCAAACGAGTTTGATTGTTTTGACCCGACTCTGAACGAAATCTAGTGTAAACTGATCAACGTCTCAACCTGAACGATCACCAGAAGGTTTGTTAATGATTTAAGTATCTGTAGCTCATCTTTAGGGGACCATCCAAATAAAGTGTGACCAAGCTTTTGAATGAGCTGAGTTTAAGGCACAATCGAGTTTATATAGATTTAAAACTCACTGATCACATTTTTAACCCCACGTTTGTTTATTTGCGTCTCCTAGTAATGGGAGAATGCGAGAGTTTGCGAGAGTTCAGTGAGTTACGTTCAGTTCAGCAACAGCTGAAAAGTTGAGTAGTGTGTGATGCCTTTTTATAATCTGTTAAGACTTTAAAAGTCGTGTAGTGAACCCAAGGCTCTCACGTGTTGTCAAAAACTCTACATTTAGTATTTTATTAATTTAATTTCATTTTTTATGTATGTCAAAGGTCACTGCTGTGATAAGCCTTTTTTGTGTAACTGTCGTTTTCTGTCACACATTCAGTGTTTTTGAATCAAATGAATCTGATTGGCTTTGCAGAAAGCTTCATCTGTTTAAACAGAGCGAGCTAGCTAAACCTCCGTTTGTCTCACGTTTTCCGTTTTCGCTATAATGTTTGTATTTGTGGGAAATGAGGAAAACCACAAAAACCATAGTAGATCAATGGCTTGAAATGTTCACAGAGAAAGAAGGTAAAGGCTTTTAGATAAACATACTCATTGAGTTGCTGCCCATCGAGACGCTGAATGTCGACATGTGCGCCTTCATTAAAAACAACGGATGTGAGTTTTTGGAAGCTGCGTGACGCAGCCATGGGCAACATTTTAGACTTATGTCGGGGCGGGGCAAGCCATCTCAGTCAACTATATGGAAAGTATAAAACCTATATTAAGCAAATAACCTTTCGCTGCTGTTGGAACAAAATCTCGTATCTCCAATATGACAACTTTACAGGAGAAGGCAAAAACTTACTCAACTTTTAACGTAAGTCAATAGAACCAGATTTTTTCCATGTAACTTTGGGCCGTTTCTTTTGGTCCATTCATCGTAAAATTTAAACATAATGTAAAGGGCAGCAGGTATTTTCAAATTATGTCAAAAACTGAAAAACAACAAAAAGGGAGATATGGTTTTGTTCCGACAACAGCGATATATTTATCAAAGTATGAACTCTGTTCTACCTCAGTGAAGTGTGAGACGGCGCCCACCAGGCACAGCATCAAATGCACTGCCTGCTTTTTCCAAGTCCGTGTGAATGGCCCGTTCAATATTCAGCACTGCAATGTCAGACAGTGACTCAGAGTGTTTCTCATGTAGGTTTTCAATTGACGCAAGCAAGAAAAGTTCCTTTTGCATGATGCGCTGCTCATTGGTACGTTCAATCGCCTAGAACTGACGCTTTAGAAAGTGCTGAACGTTGACCGAAGCCAATTTCTTGTGATGGCATAGTGTTAAAGAGGGACAGCTCTGCGCTGGTCTCCTCTTTGGCGATGACAAACAATTCGCTGCTGTCCGAACAAAACCTCGTATCTCCATTTTTGTTTTTCAGTTTTTGACATAATTTGAAAATGCCTGTTACCCTTACATTGTAAATTTCATAATGAATGGTCCAAAAAGAAATGACCCAAAATGACTTGGAAAACATTTTGGTTCCATTGACTTACATTAAAAGTAAAGTATGTTTTTTCCTTCTTCTGTAAAGTTACCATTATGGACATACGAGGTTTTGTTTTCCGACAGCGGCGAAATGCTAGATCTGCTTCGGTGTGTGTTCTATAGCCCAGAATTTTGTTCAGTGCAATTAGGCTTTCCACACCATTTTCCTGAAACCGATCACAGAATTCTTGAACAGTACACCAAAATAGAAGTCCTTCTAGTAACCCGTAGCAGAGGCAACATTGGATCCAGTCACTGACACTTTGCCGGACCTCCTCTGCGGACGTTGTGGGCCTCGGTAGTTACTTTGAGCGCACAAGTCAACCGTGAGCTACCAGAGTTTTTTTGAAAGTCACTATCTGTTCCCATTGCTAGCGGAGTAGAGACTGTGCTGCCAGCGAGGCTCTCGACCGCGGCATAATTTAAACTCAGTGACTGCAGTGCTTTCGACAGTACATTGCATTGCATTAAAAAAACTTGTGACATCAGAATGCAGGCTGCCCCCTACTGTCATGGAGTTCAATCTCTATACATAGTAGATAGTTTTGACAGATGTCAATGTTCCATAATTAAAGCATTTAATTAAAACAACCTTCTTAACTTTAGTTATTTTTGGCCATTTCTATTGGTCCATTCGTCATGACGTTTTGCCTCTATGCAAAGGGCAGCTGGCATTTTCAAAATATGTAAAAATAAAAACAAAAATGACCAAAATGTGGATGCAATTTTTGTTTTCCGACAGCAGTGACATATAGGTCACGTCATAGTCGGACTGGCCACCCCAAGATCTCTGCCACAATTCAAACTCTAGACATGGATACATCAGTAAAACCTGCATTTAGACCACCTGTGTCAGGCTCCAGTCCTCGCGGGCCAAAACACTGCAGATTTCAGCACACTGACTCATTAAACACCTGATTGAGTTCTTCAGCTAATTAGCAAAGCCTTCATGAACTGAATTCAGAGCGTTAGATGAGGGAAAAACGCTGATCTCCGCAGCTCTTTGGCCTGGAAGGTCTCTAGACATGCCTGGTTTAGACTGTGTGCCTCAGCAGTGAACTCTGTATGATCACTATAACTCTGTATAAGAATGTTATAACCCACTATAACTGTAATACATATACACGAGGCTAATGTTTGGTTTTGTATGTGTCAGCTGTGTTTGCGGCCGTTTAAATACCGTTTTCTCAGCCATCGTCAGGAGTGGTTGTCATACGCTGTGTGAGTGTGTGTTGGAGCTGGTACTTGTGCGTAAGTAAGCACTCCCAGATGTGCTTTTAATGGGCGAGAGATGTTTGTATTAGCTGAGCTAAGGATATTTGATGCAGGCCAGACGGGACTGCTGCAGGTGTGTGTGTGTGTGTGTGAGTGTGTAATCTGCTAGATGAGGACCGTCTGTATGCCCTGTTTTTTCTGTTAATGTTTTATGTTGCATTCAAAACATTTTAACAATGAATTGGAGGTGCTGCATATTGTAGATCATGTCGTTCCTCCCTCATATTCAGCTAGATTTGATGTTATACCAGTTATCCAATGATTAAATGACAATAAAAGACAGAAATACAAGCGTTTTCACAAAGTCTGATGCATGAATGACAGCACTAGCACATACCCCATGAAGCAGTGCATGCACTGAGCAGGGGTTACGTGGTTCATTTGTATTTTACTCTTGTATGGCTAAGCAAAACATTCTGCTGTTCTGTTGTATTTGTACCTTCGGTGCTTGTATGATTGCATTATGGCAAATTTTTAAACCATTATCAAAAACTTCTCTATGGTGAAATAAATGGCTGTTCAAAATAGAACCAGCAGATGGCGTAGGTCTTCACTTTCCTTCCTCATGTGGTCCTTGGGCAAGACTCGTAATGCTACATTCACTTACCTCTGTAACATGATTTAACTTGTAGCACTGAGTTAAGGCCAATTTATAGTTCAGGCGATAAGCGTCGCTCGTCGTCACGGTGTGCGGCTGTGTTTATTTTCTTGCTGCTCCGCTGCTTTCGGAAACAGAACAGGTTGCCAGCTATTTATAATATACATCTATAAGATTATTTTTAAACCTTTTTCCGCGATTGCGATACTTTAAAATGCAGTCCAAGCAGAAAACACCACAGCCCCCGCGACTGCACTTTCAGACTAACTGGAAAACCGCAAATCTGGCAGCCCTGCATGATTTAGAAAGAACTCGTGAGTGAAACGTGTGTGGAAAAGAAGTAGTAGGGTATTCCTGGTTGCTGTAGTGACGCTGCAGCTTAAAATCCCACTGCAGTTTTACTGTAGCAGCTGTTTTCTGTTCTGTGTGGTTTCAATGCTGTTTCATTAACTGCGCTGTCATACAGGTTTTCATAGAAACTACAGACAATGTTCTATTCTGGCGTTTTGTTGCTGGCGCAGGACTATGAAAGCCTACAGCGCTGCAACATCTGGCAACCCCAGGTTTTTTTGTTGAGCGACGCTTGTCGTCCAGAATATAAATTGGCCCTAAGAGTGTCTGCCAGATCTGGAAATGGAAATGCACCAAAGTGAAAATTCTGTACTTATTGCTTTAAGCAAAATGTAAAAGAACTACAAGTTAATAAGGAAATGATTATTGATAGTAAGTCTCTTCAACAGGACAAATAGACTAAGATAAAAATAAAAACAGCATAAAATAAACTTGCTAACTTTATTACAGTGTGTGCCTACAAAATCCAGCGTCTTCACAAACAGAAAATGATTATCCCAGGCGATTAATTCTATAATTTTTTAGTTATAATTTGAGCCTTTTTGGATTTGCTTGACTTTTCAAAAGCTGTGGCTACAGATGGCCATCAGATATTCAGACCACCCTCGCTAATGACCCACGTAGAAAATGTGAAATGGTTCCACACGTTCCTTTCTACTTTTCCTTTCTATTAAAATTATTTGTAAGGTGTTAGGTTGCTGTTAGATTTTGACATTTCAATGTATCTGTATATCATATCTACTTATATCCAGTGTTAAATATCAGTTGATCCGCATATCTGATCTGATATCAGTGTTCATATCGAGGATCAGCCAATACAGATATCTGATCTGATGCTTGCATTAATACTGAGCATTTGTCTGGATGTGCTTAGCTGCTAGTGGCTGTGAAACGCTGCCGTAAAATCAGTAATTTTTCTGCATATTTTGACTGTTTTGCACTACTTTTTTTTCTAATGTCGTAAATATGACACTTTTATATTTCAGTTGCTCTAAGATGCGTAAAGAAGGCCTCTGTTTTCTCACTACTTTGAATACACTTTTCTAAGTGTGTAATAGACACATTCCAATATCTGTGCTGTTTCCGTTTTCCTCTTTAACGTAGTTCCACACTGCAGACATCTGATCAGACTTAATATAGCCGGATTATATACTAATCCATTAACGTGCTGTTAAACATCAGAGATGTAAGTATAACAGAATTCATTCGGCTCTCTCTGTGTCTGCAGGGTGCTGTTTGGCGGTCTGGGTCAGCTGTGTGACGGAGTGCTGGGTGGGGATGATTTTGTGAAGAGTAAGGAGCTGAGGGTGTGGCCTGGATACGATTACGTGGGCTGGAGCCGTGAAGCGCTGGGCCAGCCTACTGTCGACATTGAGTTCCACTTTGAGAAAACACGAATCTTTCACACCATGCAGGTAAATGACACACACACACACACCTGTTTGTATGTTTGTTAACTCTTAAAAAAAAGTGCCGTTTTTACTCTTCGGCTAGTAAATCACATGATTTCTCATTGATGTTCTTGCATTTATTTGATATGTAAAAAAAATTGACCTGAAATTTTGTCGATTTTTATTTTATCTACCTTTTTGAACAAGAAAAAGGAATATAAACAAAACAACAGATCCGATCTGCACTCAGGCCAAGTCCCATTTCTTATTTTTACCCCTACCCCTTGTTTTCGAATGTCACCTTGTTCCTTGGACCTGAGTTACAAGGTGTAGTGGTTGAAATTTTCCTCTACGAAATGGGACCCTCAAATAAACAAGAGCACTACTTCATTAACAGCTACTAGCGCTGCTCTGTAGGCGACCCTGCCAGTCTGCAGTGACAGCAGAGGAGGGTAAAGTTCAGCTCCTCACTGCTGGGCTTTAGTTACATTTAGGGAATCATATGCCTTCAAAGAGGGGGGCAGTTATTTATTATCGCCCACCCCTAATTCTTCAGTGATATGAAGCTGAAGTCAGATATTCACCAGACACCCTACCCCTTGACGTAAACGTGCAAAACGGAGGGCTAGGGGCTCAGTGGTAGGGGCGAGGGGTGAAATGGGACTGGGCCTCAGTCTGCTCAGGAACTACTGCAGCGCATCCAACAGTAAAGGCAGCAGTTTGTCACCCGTCTGTATAGACAAAGCGTAGTAACTGTTTTCCTGCTAATCTGATGCTGCATTGGCTTCGATTTGATGATCAGGACCGTCTCCGTCTTTGACTCTGCATTCTCCGCATTCCTCCTCTGCTCCTGTCTCATTCACTTCATCCGCACATTCCTCCTCTTTTCATCTCCCTCTCATTCTCTTCCCTCACACCTTTGTTTTCCCTCTGTGGTGTTTACTTCTCGCAGCTGACGCATGGCCACATTCCCTGGAGCTTTGAGGAATATTCCACATGACCTCAGGATACTGGCCATGCGCCTAACAAAGCAAGAGAGCCAGCTTTTTATTTAATAACATGATTTATAACCCTCTCTCTGCCACTTCCAGACTTTTGTCCTAAAACTAGCCCCCCGCACCCCTCATCTGTGCCTGTTGGGTTTTCCCTGTGTTTTCATTGCCCCCCTGAACACCTCTTAAAAAAACGTTTCCCTGCTTAAGCTCTAACAGGCTAGGAGGCGAGTACAGGCCCCAGAGGGACGAGCGGGTTTCACTTACTCAGCTGGGTGTGTGCGCGTGTTTGTTTTTGTACATTTTCTGGACAAAAATGTCCTGAAAACATCTACAGTGGTGGTACGAAGAAAAAGTGCTCGATGTTTCATTATTTAAAACTGAAAGTGTGATTTCTTTTTGGTTCCTGAGGTTGAGATTAAGGTTCTGGAGTCCAGTCACTGTCCACTCAATTAGACACTCCTACCTTGTTGGTCCGTTGATGTAAAGTCAGAGACGATAGCTCATCTGCTGCTGCACAGTTTGTGTTGGTCATCCTCTAGTCCTTCATCAGTGGTCACAGGACGCTGCCCACAGGACACTGTTGGCTGGATATTTTTGGTTAGTGGACTATTCTCAGTCCAGCAGTGACACTGAGGTGTTGAAAAACTCCAGCAGCACTGCTGTGTCTGATCCACTCAGACCAGCGCAACACACACTAACACACCACCACCACGTCAGTGTTACTGCAGTGCTGAGAATGATCCACCACCCAAATAGTACCTGCTCTGTGAGGGTCCATGGGGGTCCTGACCGCTGAAGAACAGGGTAAAAGGGGGCTTACAAAGTATCAGAGAAACAGACGGACTACAGTCTGTAACTGTAGAACTACAAAGTGCACCTGTATAGTAAGTGGAGCTGCTAAAATGGACAGTGAGCGTAGAAACAAGGAGGTGGACTTAATGAATATAAATAGGTACTTGTTTTTATACTGTCTGACAATCCAGTTTATAAGTACAAAAACAAGCCTGTTTGTGTGTGTGTGTGTGTGTGTGTGGTGACTTAAGAGGTGTGTACCTGATAAGATCTGTTACACTTTAACTTCTCGACAGGTCACTGCTGTTTGAGCAGTGTGTTTTCAAAAGGATCTTCCGTGTGTGTGTGTGTGTGTGTGTGTGTGTTTGAGTGTGTGTGTGTGTGTGTGTGTGTTTCACTGTGTTTATTTAGATGTTGACCTTACATGTCAGGTTAATCACTAACTTGTCATGCTGATTACCCTTATCACCTCTGCCCCCCACCCCTCTCTCTCTCTCTCCCTCTCTCTCTCTCTCTCTCTCTCTCTCTCTCTCTCTCTCTCTCTCTGAACATCTGGATTCTTGTCTCTCTGCTCTCTGTCCTCACTTCATCAAACCTGTATTCCTCTGCAGTTGTTTCTTAAAATGAATAGGTTCTGTCCCGATTCTCTGGGAAATGTGATTGGAGGAACCTTTTACACAGTGGAAGGTAGTCGTTTGCAAAAGTTTGTGCGCCTCTGCTCAAATTACATCTTCTTGATTTTGACATAATTGAACACATCCTCTTCAGCCCATGTGTCAAACACAAGATCAGGCCCGCCCCACAATCCTCCCCGGACTGCAAAAGTATTTTAGTTTTCTAAATTTTGTATTTATCATTTATTTATTTATTATTTATTATTTATTTTTAGCCTGTTTCACAATGCACTGCACTACGGTCCCCAGCATGCACTGCAACGTAATGTGCTCTGACTACAATAGGAGTTCTACCAAAATGAACACTTAACGTCAGCTCAGCAGCTCAGAAACTGAGCCCAATCTTACTAACTTGCAGCATAGAAAAGATGGCCCACGCTTTTGAAGAGATTTTTTATTATGGCCCTTTTACTGGTTGAGTTTGACACCCCTGCTCTACAGGGAGCATTCTTCTGCACGTTTTACTGTACAACTTAGTTTGCTTAGTTTTTCAATATCTTCAGCAAATTAACAGTAACCGTGCATTAAAATGTGCAGAAGTGTGTTTTTAGAGGACGTGTTAACTTATTTTCTTAGATTATAAAATCAACAAAGCATGTCATTTGAGCAGGGGTGCCCAAACTTCTGCGCACGACTGTGTAGGCGATAACAGGACAAAGATTTTGTTTAGATTTTGTTTAAAAAAGGTGAGCAGATACTTGTACTGAATTTTGTTATGATGGATTCCAGTTAGTCTAAAATGGGCCTTCGTGATGTCAGTGCCCAAATTTCAGTCTCAACGTGGCAATATAAGTAAAATTATATTTCATTTTTCCATGATCTGATCAGGGCTGTTATTGTCACTGCAGAGCAACCAAAGCTATCCTGTCGGGTTACATTCGGCACTTTGGGTGATTTAAGTTCAGGTCCGATTTGGACAGAATTTTATTGAGCTTTGGTCAGTTTTGGACCCAAAAACATGACATAGGTTTGGACAAAATTTTATCAGGCTTAAGGTTCAGACACAAAATGTGAAGCTATATGTTGGGTCGGGTTGGGCTTGGACAGGATGTTCTTGGCCTGCTTTCAGGTTTGGACCAAAATTTCAGACCTAATTAAAGCACTAGTGTCCGCAGGGATGGACCGGCCATCAGAAGGACTGGCGCAATTCTTAGTTGGCTGTTGAGAGAGTGAGATAAAGAGAAATGCTTTGTGGTGATCCTGCTGTAGTCCTATATAAAATGAATGGAGACTGCTATGACGTTAAATCCAATGCAAAATTCGCAAGCGAGGAAAAGCACTCTAACGTGAGAAAAACACGGAAAACTACTCTCGTGCATGCAAAAAACTACTCTTGCGCCCGAGGAAAACCCCTCGACAATTGCGTGCACGAAGAAGGCCAAAAATTAGCCCGACACTCAACTGTTCTTTCTGGATTCTCACTCTAGAAGACGACCTTCAGAGGCCGCCAGTACAGTGGGGTTAGCCGAAACCCTGCCTGTAATCACTGAACTCTGTCTTTGTGAATGTTCAGTAATCATGATTAATCACTCTCAGTGTGGTTTCCTCACGCAAGTAGTTCTCTTCGTGTGCACGAGGGGTTTTCCACGGGTGCAAGAGTAGTTTACTGCACGCAAGAGCAGTTTTCCTCGCTTGCGAATTTTGAATTGGATTTGACGCCATAGACCACCCGGGACAGATGGCATGCGCTGGACGAATGCTGGAGTGCACATCTCTAGATGCGTCCACTGCATTCTCAGTTTGTGGCCACTGGCCAGTCACAAAAATGCCACTGCCCCTCAGAACAAAGCATAATGATAACAACTGGGAAAGTTAAACTGTGAAGGCTGGCTAGAGAGAGATGGAGAACCCCTCCAAAAGTGCAAGGAGAGGGGGATGCGTGATAAAAAACAGAAATTTACGTAAACAAGATGCTAAGAAATTAAGAAATGAGGGGTTTTTAGGGGGGGCAGGGAGGGGGGGTTCGTTTGGGGAGGGTCACTGTGGTTGTAGTGAGCTGGTCTAGACGAAAGTCCAGGGCTGAATTTAGTTTGTGTATATGTGTGTTTTTTCAGGTCCACAGTAACAACAGACACACTCAGGGGGTTCGCGTGTTCTCAGAGGTGGTGTGCGAGTTCAAGGCAAGTCTGCTGAGCAAGTGGATGGAGCCTGCGCTGAGGCTACCCGTTCCTCTGGAGGACCTGAAGGACCCCTCATCCCGCTCCGTCGCCCTGCCGCTGGGGGGCCGCCCCGCACAGATCCTCCGCTGCCGTTTCGCCTTCGCAGACCGCTGGCTGCTCATCAGTGAAATCAGCTTCTACTCCGGTACAGTGATGTTAAGATTGTGTTCTAAGATGCACAATGATCTTTACTCGAGGTCACAGTGTCCAGTCTGACAGCACTTCCAGCATGCAGGCTTTTATACTGTGTATTTCCCCTAGGATTCAGTCAGGACAGTAGACATAATAAACACAACAGTAGACATAGTAAACAAATGAAAGCAGCTGTTTGTGAAGTCAGGACACACCTACAGTCAGTAGTTTTGGTAGACGTCTGCCCTGTGATCGGTCATTTGGAAGCTCTGCAGTTAAAAATAAGGCAAAATAGAGAGGAGGTAATAAAAACTAGAGGAAGAAAGTAAAGTAAATCACAATAGACACATGCACATATCAAAACAGATTTAAAAAAAATCACCTCTGGGATAAAGAAAGGCTGTTTACATGCAGATTTTTGCCAATCTGATTGAATACGTTCTGATTACAGATTAAGACTGAGGTGTTTATGCTCACTCTACTCAACAATCTGATGAAAATCTCTGTTTACATGCTCACTACAAGTAATCTGATCCAAAATCACGCGTATGCATAGAGAACCACTTAGACGTTACCATAACAACCAGCATTGCGTGAGTCAGAGTGAGATGAGCAGCGGTGAGCAGTGCTTGTGCTTTTAATGGCTTTAAAATGATGTCAGACTCAGGAAAACGTCCTTCACATGTCCTTATTAAAGAAGGCCGAGAGGAAGACGTCGTGTTCTGAGACACATAAGCTGGACGTCCGTCCCACCGCCGTCTTTTAAAGATCAGAGCATAAACTTAGTCTCCTCTGCAGACCAGTTTCTGCTCCGCCATGTTGAACGGTATAAACTTTCACTATGACGCGACAAACATGATCAGAACAGACTTAAACTTTCCGATAGGGAATGTAATCAGATACAGGCGTTTACACGGATATTATTCTTCTATATAACGGATTATTTACAGGATTACCCACCTCGTTCAGTCGGATAGAAAGTGAGCCAGGTGGCTTCAATCGGACTAGTTTATTCTGACTGAGGTGTTTACATGGACGTATTCTATTCCGATTAAGCTATTAGTCGGATTATTAATAGATTTAGGATTATTGATACATTTTTATGTACATTTTCCCCCAGAATGTCACTGTGTCCTCTGAATTATGAGGTTATTTAGGAGTCAATTGAGAATATTGTTACATGCGAGCTAAAACTGCTGCACACTGAATCGACATCATAAGACTGGCAACCTCACCAAATACCCCACACAAGCCAGCAAGCTTTGTCAGTAGCTGGTCTTGTTATACTCAAAAAAATCAAATCAGGAACTCGACTGGCCCACAAACAGCAGGAACGCTCTTTTTGGGAGAGACGTCACCATACAGAGCAGATTGGAAAGAACCAGTCACCCAGCTTTTGCCAGCTTGTGCCACCGGAATCACGAGAGGACCATTTGAGAGAAGCTCTCCGTTCACTTCCATTCATTTCGGACTGTGTTTAATCCAGAGATAAAGGCACATTTTGAGCTGTTTTAGATTAGAAAAGACCTATATAGCCATTTACTGTCTTCTGAGTTTTTATTATTTGGGGTCTATTTTGCCTTACCACACCCTGCATGTACCTCTGTGCCATTAAAAGATTTTAATACATGAAAAAATGTAGGCCTCAGACATCAGACAGTATGATAAGTGTTTCATCTGAACTTTCTGTGAAGGAGCTTTTACAGGCATTAAACTCTTCAGATCCAGTGATGTTCAGTGGAAAATGTACACAGAACATCACATTTGTGTGAACTTTCAAAGACAGCATTCATTTTTTCATTCCTAGAAAACAGGCTTAAACCTGGAGTTCCTTATTTGGGCACTACACCACCTTCCGAATGACACAAAACTTTAATCTGATTTTGAAGTTCTAACCCCTGTGTGGTGTTCAGGTGTGTGGGACCCATTTTCAGTGTTTACCAAAAGAAAAAAATATGTGATTTATTATTATTTCAACCTCAGATTTCTTGGTCTTTGCTCATTTTCTGTGAAGAGCATATAAAGTAACCCATTTTCAGTGTCTTCACTCTGTAAACACCCCACACATTTATATTACACATGTGGTGTTGGGTGAACCTGCAGGGAATGAAAGTGTGGAGGTGCTGTGTCCTTCACTCTGTTCTCCTCCTACATGGCCTGCTGTTAGTGTGTGTGTGTCTGTGTGTGTCTGTGTGTGTATGTGTTTGTATATGTGTGTGTGTGAGGGTGGACAACATGGACAGGCGGCTGACTGGCTACAGCTGCTAAAGGAGAACCCTACACAAGGGTTAAATGCTGATCATATATGTGAGTCATTGTGTTAATGCCTCTCTCTCTCTCTCTCTCTCTCTCTCTCTTTCAGAGCCGTATGAGAGTGGTTCACCGTTTCCCTCCGTAGAAGCCCACCCTCCTCCCTCCTCCACCCCTCGCTCTCGTTTCTTCACCTCCTCCCCTCCAGCATCCTCCTTCTCTCCCAGCTCCAACAGCTCCACCGGCCGAAGCACCGGTAAGAGCTGACTCGAGCTTTGGAACATGAATTCGCTACATCGACCAGTAGCTCTGCGGCTATGGCTGCATTGCGCTTTGAAGGGGCGGAGCTTCGTATAGCAGCACTTACAGTTAGGGGTGCATTAAAATTTTGGCCACTGAAGAAGTTCAGGAGAAACGGGCGAAAGCAGCTCTTGCAGTGAGCAGCCGTGCCTCACACACCTGAGCAGTGAGAGGAGGGTGTGGTATCTCTGATCTCTGAAGGGTGAAGAAAGGTTGTGTGGTGTTCAGCTGCTGTGTTGTTGGGGGTCAGCGAGGAGTTCGGCTGGCAGACCCACCCACAGCTACTCAGATACAGCCTTCATCCAGATCTCTTCCCCTCTCTCTCTCTCTCTCTCTCTCTCTCTCTCTCTGTCTCCTTCTCAGTCCCTCTTTTTTTTCTCTCTCTCTCTCCCCCTTCTCTCTCTCGCGCTCTCTCGCTCTCTGTCTTTGTCTCTCTCTCTTTCTCTTCCTTTCTCTCACTCTTTTCTCTCCTTTTCTCTCTTGCTCCCTCCCTCTCTCTTTCTCACCCTCCGTCTCCCTTTCGCTTCCTTTCTCTCACTTTCTCTCTCCCTCTCTCTCTCTGTCTCTCTTTCTCAGTCTCTCTCTTCCCCCCTTCACTCTCTGTCCTTTTCTCTTTGTCTCTCTCTCTCTCTCTTTCTCAGTCTCTATCTTTCCCCCCTCTCTCTCTCCCTTCTCTCTGTCTTTGTCTCTCTCTTTCTCTTCCTCTCTCTCTCTCTCTCTCTCTCTCTCTCTCTCTTTAAGTTCAAGTTTGCTTTATTGACATGACAAAATTATGTTTGTATTGTCAAAGTATCAAAACAGTTTCCTATATAATAAAAGTCAAAGTAAAGAAGAGAAACATATATAACAATATAACAATAAAGAGAAAATATCAATTATGAATTAATAATGTAAAAAAATTGAGATGCATTTGGCAAATAAGAGAGAAAAACAAAACAAAAAAGTTAAAAAAACAAAAACGTATCTCTGTAATTCAGAAGGGAAAAAAGAACAGAACCACTGTAAAAAACACGCTGCATTACATATATAAGGGTGAGGAAAAGAAAGAAAAGGGTTGTAGTTTGGTGGTCTCTCTCTCTCTCATTCTCTCTCGCTTTTTCTCCTTCCCTCTCTCGCTCTTTCTCTCTGATCTGTCTTCTCTTCCTCCCCCGTCTGTCACTGTCTCCCCCTCTCTGTCTCATCATCATCCCTCATCCTCCCTCACGTGAGCTTTTTGTGCTCTTCTGTTGAGTCTGACGCAGTTTGATGCAGGTGAGAGAGCGAGAGAATGAGGATGGAATGGAGGGCTGGGGAGATGAGCAGAAGAGAAATGCCAGCATTGTATGTGGGGTCACAATGACATAGCTGTGGTGGGCCTGCGGGCTCTCTGATTACGCTGCTTTCTTGTGGTCTGGCCTGTAAAAGCCTTTAAAAGTGCCACACAAAAGCTGCCTGTTGCGAATGTTGTGCGTGTATGTGTCCTTCAGTGGTCTGGAGAAGCTGTTTTGATGTTCTGGAGTTGTTTGTGTGGCGCTGATGTTATTGAGCAAGTGTTGTTTTTGAGTGATCGCTCCTCTGGCCCAGCTCATAAAGTTTCCTTTTATTCTAATTACATTCTTCTCATGCTTTAGCGGATGAACTCTCATAAACCCTCAGCTCACATTCTCTCTCTTTCCCTCTCTGCTGTGGCTCAGGCCGCTCTGCCATTCATTTCAGTTTAATTTACTCTGATCAAAGCGCATTACAGCTTGCAAAACATCTGGCTGCCAAAAAGTACACATACGCATACAGATCGATGTGTTTATTTGGCACGGAAAGGATGTCAGTAAGGAGGAAGAGATAAGAGCAGATAACACTGAGGATACTCCACTCGGACTGGATTGCTATGCCAATACACTACCAGTGAAAAGCTTGGAGATGTGTGACCGAATAAGATGATTTATGATTTATTAACTAATGTTTAAATGTTTAAAACTTCCCCCACTTTTATTAGATTTGCAAAGCAATTAAAATAGTTCATTGTGATTAATGGCATTTGTGTTATTTGCTTAATTTTTTCCATTTCAGCTATGAAAGTAGAGCTTCATCAGAATGTATTTAGTGACTTTACTAACTCAATAACACAAAAATCACATGATTTCCATCGAAGTGTGTAGTATACACAGATCAGGCATAACATTATGAGCACATCCTTGTTTCTACACTCATTGTCCATTTTATCAGCTCCACTTACTATATAGGTGCACTTTGTAGTTCTACAGTTACAGACTGTAGTCCATCTGTTTCTCTGATACTTTGTTAGCCCTCTTTTACCCTGTTCTTCAGTGGTCAGGAGCCCCGTGGACCCTCACAGAGCAGGTACTATTTGGGTGGCGGGTCATTCTCAGCACTGCAGTAACACTGACGTGGTGGTGGTGTGTTAGTGTGTGTTGCGCTGGTCTGAGTGGATCAGACACAGCAGTGCTGCTGGAGTTTTTAAACACTGTGTCCACTCACTGTCCACTCTATTAGACACTCCTACCTTGTCAGTCCACCTTGTAGATGTAAAGTCAGAGACGATAGCTCATCTGCTGCTGCACAGTTTGTGTTGGTCATCTTCTAGTCCTTCATCAGTGGTCATCTGGTCGCTGCCCACAGGACGCTGTTGGCTGGATATTTTTGGTTAATGGACTATTCTCAGTCCAGCAGTGACACTGAGGTGTTTAAAAACTCCAGCAGCACTGCTGTGTCTGATCCACTCAGACCAGCACAACACACACTAACACACCACCACCACGTCAGTGTTACTGCAGTGCTGAGAATGATCCACCAACCAAATAGTACCTGCTCTGTGAGGGTCCATGGGGGTCCTGACCACTGAAGAACAGGGTAAAAGGGGGCTAACAAAGTATGCATAGAAACAGATGGACTACAGTCTGTAACTGTGGAACTACAAAGTGCTCCTGTATAGTAAGTGGAGCTGATAAAATGGACAATGAGCGGATAAACAAGGACATAATGTTATGCCTGATCGGTGTACATATTAGTAATATTGATTGATTAAAAAAAATAAGCGAATTAATCACAGTAATAGATTGTGATTAATTATGATTAATTGTAAAATTTAAATAGTATTTACTTGTATTTTTGGGGGGAGAAAAAACAAGTAAAAGAATGCATGAATTGTATAGCAGTGAAAAGGCAGGGCTGAATTGTGCTTCTGCTGTGCCAGCGTCGCCTTCGGTGTGTCTTTGTTGTGTTGGACCCACTTTATCTCAGCGCGTGGGTACATCCTGGACGAGTGTCCGCTCTTCTTGACCATGAGAGGCTTGCTGAACTTTCAGCTCTGCTGTGTTTGCAGGACTGTGTTTGAAATGTCTGCCTATTTTATGGCACATCAACAAACCGGCTGTCACGGAGAGCCACTGTGATTGTTACTGTGCGCTATCTGTTCCTATAGTGGTCACCTTTAGTCATCCAGTTCCAGAGGGAACTTTAGTTTTATCTAAACTTCCATCTGGAAGCTTTTTAAATTGAAACCTGCTGTTCAGCTCCTCAGTTAGCCAAAACATTGTGACCAACCCCTAATGTGCTGTTGGTCTCCACGTGCCGCCAAAACAGCTCTAGCTCACCGAGGCGTGGACACTACAAGACCTCTGAAGGTGCCTTGTCGTGCCTGCCACGAAGACGCCAGCAGATCCAAGTCCTGTAAGTTGTGAGTTGGAGCTGCTGTGAGTTCCAGCACATCTCACAGATGCTGGATCGGATTGAGATCTGCAGAATTTGGAGGCCAAGGCAACACCTTGACATCACATTCTTCAAACCTTTCCCGAACAGTGTGTGGCGGAGTGCATTATCCTGCCGAAAGAGGCCACTGTCCTCAGGGAATAACACTGTCATGAAGAGCACAGTGGGCTCACAACACCCTGTTGCTGGATCATGGTTTATCCCTCCTTAGATCACTGTCGGTACTCGCCACTGCTCACCCCACAAGCCTCGTTGTTTCGGAGATGCTCTGACCCAGTCGACTGGCCCTAACGATTTGGCCCCTGTCTAAGTCGCTTAAGTCTTTATGCCTGTCCATTCCTCCTGCATCCAACTTGTCAACTACAAGAACCGACTGTTCGCTTACCACTTAATATTTCCCCGACCTTGACATGCACCGTTGTTATGAGATTATCAGTGTTATTTGCTTCATCTGTGAGTGCTCATAATGTTTACACACAGTCGCTCCTCCGTGATTGTGGCCTCTCGCTCAGGTTTGAGGCCGATTGCTGATGGTATCACCAGTCACTGTTAGTTTTCAACTATCTATTCATTTCTTTTGTCTTCTTCTTCTTGTTTAGGTGACGAGTTTGCTGCCGGCACTCCGAGGGCAGGGCTACCCGTAGCTAAGGACGACAGCAGCAACACTGCCATCCTGATTGGCTGCCTGGTGGGCATAATCTTGCTGCTGTTGGCGGTCATTGTTGTCATTCTGTGGAGGCAGTACTGGAAGAAGCTTCTTAGCAAGGTGAGGCAACTGTGCAAGTGTTTCTGAGCTGAACACTGCAGTCAGTGGATCTACTGTGAAAATGTAGGTTTGACCCGTGAAGACCTCAGTAATGTATTGCATTGTGTGCTTTGTGGTACCTGAAATGTTTAGCCCCCATGCACAGACCACATTCAAATGAACCTAATTTAGGGAAAAGAACAAAGAAAGAGGATCTAGACTGCACCATAATGCAGATAAACAATTTTTACATCACATTACCAACAGAAATGCGCAAGAATGAATGTTTATGGCCCATTTCATTTCTATTAGCCAAAATCACAATATATATAACATTCTGTATCCCTTAATGGGAAGAAGTCAGGCTCATATTTCAAATATGTTTTAGGCCATTGAGTGAATTTTTAAACATGGTTTACGCATTTCTAGACATAAATTATGTAGGACATGTTTAAAATAGATTACTAGATTGATAACGGGTTCTGGGGGGGCTCCAGAGTGGCACAACCCTCTAAGTGTTGGCCCTGTCATCAGGAGATCACGAGTTTGATCCCTGGTGATCCCTCCGTGGTCGTAAGATGTGGTGGCGCTTCACAGGACTCGAAGGAAGCCTGTGCTGGCCTCGCCCTCCTAGCGCTGGTGGTATTGTGTGGTTGAGGGAGTCCTAACTAGTTGGTGGAACTGGATATGACCAAACTGGGGCAACAGGACCCTCTTTTGACTCTGTTTGTACGTGTGCAGGCTCAGGGCAGCCTCTCCAGTGACGAGCTGCGGGTTCACCTCTCGGTTCCCTCAGACAATGTGGTGATCAACAACACCAACACGCACACCTACTCCAGCCGCTACCAGCGCATTCACACCTTCCCCGACGACAGAGACAGGGATGCAGAGTACCAGGAGCCCAGTACCGTGCTGCGCCCGCGAGAGCAGCGCGACAGCACCGGTAAGGCACTCGCACGCACATTTTAAATTTAGATCCACAGAGTAAATGCACAATATATAAATATATTTTTTAATCTAAATCTGTAGCTTTGGTCATTCATAACCAAGTAGCCATGTAGTTACATCAGCTCTGTTACAACAGTCTACAGCATTTTGTATGGATGAACAAAACAATTTTACCTCCAAATATATATATCCAAATATATATAACATATGCAAACGTTTGAACACCCTCGGTCAAGTGAAGTTTTGTTGATTTTCTGAGTGAATCACTTCTACAGGGAACACACTTAAATATGCCACTGTTCTACAAATTTTAGCACACAATTTCTATTTATTTGCTGAGTTTAACAATGAAAAAAAAAATTACGCAAAATATAAAATATGCCTTTTCCAATACAAGTTAAATTCAGCAATTAAACAGTAATTCTGCATTAAAATGCAGAGGTTTGTTCTCTTTAGAGGATGTGTTCACTTATTTGGCTGAACTGTTTACACAGTAGTGAAATACACAAGTTTTTTTTAGTTTTAAAAAACAGTCCTATAAAAAAACAACAAGAAAACAACAAGGATTTGGAGACCCCCTAGTGGCCAATCAGTGTAAACAACCTCAGTTCACAAATGCAAACAGAGGGAGGGCAGATTCCAAAATTAGTGACTGATATCCTTTTCATTAGGCTCGGCATTAATACTTATAACATTAGGTCTGACAGAAGGTATGTTAGCAACTGTATGGGTTGAAGACTGTGACACATACTTTGCTTAGAAGTTTATTCAAGTGTGCTTTTATTATACTTCTTTTAAACTAAATAGAAGTGAGTGTGCTCTGTTTACTTTTTATGTACTTATCAAAGATTTATTAGACAAAATTATACGCAAGTATAATTGGCTTATACTGACAAGTAGGCAGAAAAGTTTAAGTATATTTGGCTTATTCTTGTATTTATACATATACTTGTATACACACATACTTATATGCGGTTATTCATATACTTGTATACACTTGTGGCCATGCACTTGTAATTATACTTAATAATATAAAATATACTTTCATAAACTAAAAAGTGGGCTAGAAGTATGTAACTAGTACCTGTAAGTTCACTTGTAGTGTATTTCACAGTATAGTTGGAGTACAAAATTAAACAGATGTAAACTAGTTGTGTTCTCATAGTTCACAACTTTAAAATTATATTTTTATAATAGACTTAAAAGTGGCCAATTTAGTCCCAGAAAGTATTGAAATTGTACTCTAAGTATACTACTTGAACATAGATATACTTATTACATGAAAGTATACTTGGGATAACTTTATTTATCACGTTTACTTAATAAAATGAACTTTTATACTTTATTATTTTTGTATGTTATGTTAGTTTTAGATAATTATAACAGTCTCTGTCTGTTACTGTAGTGTGCAGGAGACTAAGCTACAGACTGTCCGAATAACACTGCCAAAGCAACATGAGAGAAAGTATTCAAGGACACTCCACTGCCCAGACACAAAGACACACTGTCTACAGAGAGAGAGAGAGAGAGAGACAGAGAGAGAGAGAGAGAGAGAGAGAGAGAGAGAGACAGAGAGACAGAGAGAACTGGGGCGGGGTGTAAATTTCTGATTCTGATTCTATTTAATGTAATATAGGAAATGATTCAGTACATCTCAAAATCAAAATTTAGTTTGATACAATTCAGAATCATTTTAAAAGTACACTGCCTGTTTAATTGTGAAGCATAAAGAAAGGTTGTTCATGTGGAAACGAATCATGACGGTTTTTGATACATAAACCTACATAAACTTCATAAGTGGACCAAGAAATATGTAGGACATGGGTTCACTTCAAAACAGAAGTCAAAATGCAGTTGAGTCTCCGTCTTCACATGCTTATTACACCATTAATACACCAACCCCTCTGCTGTCACTGGTGAACTATTAAGCGTTTTGTGTGCTGTAATCCTGCGTTGACTCCTTCAACATGCTGATGAATTATTGATTAACTGCCTGCAGTATGATAACCCTGCCTGCTCTGTTCTGCATCTCATTTGTAACTGTAATGCCCCCCTCCCCCCCAAACAACTCCCCCCTAACCATTACCCTGTTTGTGTTTTTTTGTGTTGTGCTGTGTCGTGATTCATCGTTTTTCATTTTGTGCTTGTGGTCTCCGCTGTGTTCCTGTCTCGTGTTGTGCCTTACGGTGTTGTATCGTGTTCTGTGAATGTGTGTTTGTGTGACCAGCCTTGCTGTTAAACAACCCAGCCTATCACCTTCTCCTGTCTGACCTGAGGCATGGCCCCAACAGGCTGACAAACTGCTCCAGAGAGCCAGAAAAGCCTCAAAATCTGCCCCAGGGTAAGAGCCAGGGGTGCATTTACCCATTCAACACGGTAACCGAGCAACTGAGAAAAGAGAGGGTGGGAATCTGTAAGGACAGTTAAAGGAATACTCCAGTATTTTTCAACTACACCTCTGTCTAAAGCATCTGTAATGTACGGTCGGCTATTTCAGAATGTTCAGAATGGTTCACTGTACTTTCACTCTTCAGTCAAAACTCAGAACAGAAGCCGGTGGGCAGCCGCTGAATCCTGAATAAACATAAGCACATCTGGCAAGTAGGTACGCGTACAGGTACTCGAGTACCTATATTCAAATACTGAAATCAAATTTCAGGTATTTGTTCCATTTGAGTAGGGTCGCAGTACTCGAGTCTGGTCTCGAGAACATAAATAAATGAGAACATAAATCAATCAGTGAATGTGTTTACATGCGCTCAATAATCCGATCATAATCAGATTTCTGCAGTTATCTGATTATTCAAATGGTCACGTAGACAGCATACTCCGATCTAGAAATCCGTTTAAGAAATCCGATAACAGATTTCCTAGCGCATGTGAACTCTTACTCTGATTTCTTTCGGAGTTCTTAGTCTGCGCATGCGCGAGAACAGACGGCGGTACCACCATCGTTGCTGCAACATGCAGCTAAACACTTTTGGAGCAACAGTGATACCAAACACAAATAAAGGATTTAAATATTAATCTTCTAGGTGATGTATGTTCATATTTTCAGGTAAAGTCGCACAATGTTTAAAAAAAAAAAAAGCAGCGACGTTTTTTTTAACGTTACGTTTACGTCGCGTCTTCTTCTGTGAGTTTATTGGCTGGTTAAAAAGCAGAAATCCGATTACTGCCTGACCTGTGTAGACCTGGAGTTTCCCCATTATCAGATTACTCAAGTGCTCATCTAAACATGTTGATCTGATTACTGACCAAATCTGATTTTCTGCAGTTGTCAGATTATTAAGTGCATGTGAATGTCAAACCGAATAAAAGTCAATTCTCTGTTTAAAGGAATGTTTTTAAACAGATGTTCAATGTTTATAAACATAAATATTAGGTTCAAATAAAATCTGTTTGCTGCCAGTTGAGGATCTAATTGATATTGTTATTACTGTTACTGTTGATATTATTGGTGTTTGGTTTATATTCAGTTGGCTTTAGGTGGTTATGGTTTGGTCTAGATTAGGCTGTAATATAATATTAGCTGATAATATTTTAGTCTACATATTTAATGTTTTAAAAAATGTTTTACAAAATATATCATAAAATATAATATTTATTAATATATATCATATATAAAGAATGATAATACCTTTGCAATTAATTATTTTTTTCTTTTTAATTTTATGATCTGAAAAAAGTATAGCTTTATGCTACCCAGGATAGCAGCCCCCAAGTGAGCCATGTGTCTGCAGTTAGCCCTTCAGATAGCCGGACACACCAGTGAGTTTAAAGTGTTACTACATACTTCTAACCTAAGAATAGCTTGGCTAGTTTGCATTGTAGTCCATGTAGTTACTGAATAATAAGCCTTAGTATGTAATAAGCCTGGGATTTTTAGGGGTTAGTCTGATCTCGGTCTTGAGTCAACTGCTACAATGTCTTGGTCTTGACTCGGACTCGCCTCTAGTGATCTTGACTACAGCATTTCATCACAGAAAGACAGACAATATACTTTAGCAATTCAGTGAAAGACAATCTTTATAACTTAAAATGACTGTTAAACATGTTTTGTTCATATTTATGAGTATGTAAGTATATAATATTACAAGTTTGCAACTATGAGACACGTCTTAATGTGAACGAGTTGAAAACGACACGTTATTTAACTAAAAAGGCTGAAATAGCTCAGCTTAACTGCTAACTAGAAACAGAAAAAATGGAAATATACTGTATTTCTCGGACAAACTGACATGTTGGCACATCGTCCATTGAGGAGAAAAGACCTCATGTCGAAGATATCGAGTCCTCAACATCCAGTGTTGTACCGTGTTGTACAGCCTCTGCTACTCATCCAATAGACAAACCTACAAACTGCCAAGGTGCCTTTTTGTCTCCCACTTTACAAATATACACTTATGGATAATCAAACATCAAAATTAGTCAAAATGCACATCGCAAGTGATGATTTGAAGCAAATTAGAAACTGTTCTTAGTTTTATCCCACGTTGTTGTTACTTTCACTTTGACTAAGATTTCCTGTTATCCGTGGCAGTCAGGCGGAGGCTGTGGAAACTCTGCCTGCACCACTATAAAGGAAATGAGTTATTACATATTCTTCCCTTTGGGAAAAATAGTCCCATTTATGAAAGAACGAATTATACGGATTTACAGCTTCACTTACTGACACCTTTGAAGAATTCATGAAAGTGTTTCACATAAACATTAACTGGTGGAATTCAGCAACTGCCTATTGGCTTAATTATAAATGGGTTTTGAGTCATTGGGTTTTCTGTCCTTTGCTAAGCACAGGGAAACGTGTTGAACTCACTGTCTGTGTAAGTAATGGTAGGTTACAGATGTGGCAGATAGAATTTAGGTTGAAAGTATTCCTTTAAGGCTTCTGGCCTCAGGGAAAGTGATTGATGATCTTGAGGAAAATGTTTAAATATTTATCAAACATTTCCTTCAATGCACTTCTCTATGAGTGAGAGTGTGAAGAAGACGATGTGCAAAAGAATTTGAAGTAGTTGGTCTGTATTAGCCATATACTTTCACTGGCCACTTTATTAGAAACACCCACCTTGTACTTCCATTTGTTGTTGACTTTATTAGAAACACCTATTTTGTACTTCTACACACTGGCCACTTTATTAGAATCGCCTACCTTGTGTTTCCACACAGTGGCCACTTTATTAGAAATGCCTACCTTGTGTTTACACACACTGGCCACTTTATTAGAAACACCTACCTTGTGTTTCCACACAGTGGCCACTTTATTAGAAATGCCTACCTTGTGTTTCCACACACTGGCCACTTTATTAGAAACACTAACCTTGTACTTCCACTCACTGGCCACTTTATTAGAAACACCAACCTTGTGTTTCCACACACTGGCCACTTTATTAGAAACTTACACCCTGTACTTCCACTAAATGGCCACTTTATTAGAAACGTATACCCTGTACTTCCACTAAATGGCCACTTTATTAGAAACACCAACCTTGTACTTCCGCTCACAGGCCACTTTGTAGAAACACCCACGTTGAACATCCAGATGAGCAACAGACACTTACTGTAAACCAGCAATGTTGAGCTACAGGTAGATCAATCAGTGAGTTTGAGGGTTTTGATAGGCCAGTACACAGTGCACCATAGTCCATATATATGCACAGCCATAACCTTCATCTGCATGTACAGTATCTAATCACTGCTCTCCAGTGTATGTTTAAGCGCATGTTTGTGATCCATTTATAACTGAAATGTTTAAGTAACTGTCTAATATTCACAAACTGAGCACCTTCAGATCCTTCATTATCTTTTTTTCCCTCTCCATAACGTCTCTCTGACTGTCCTTCACAGCGTGTGGCATAGACATGGACGATAAAGCCCTGCCTGTGCAGGAAGGACCGCCCCCGTACCCCGGAGCCCCGCCTCCTTTATTGTCAGGAGCTCATTATGCGGAAGCCTCAGGGGGCGGGCCCAGTGTGCCTCATTATGCGGAAGCTGACATCATCAGCCTGCAGGGTGTGAGCGGTAACAACACATATGCAGTCCCCGCCCTCTCGGCCACGCCCGCAGACTGCGCGCCCCTTCCGGAGTTGCCACGGGAACGGCTCATTTTCAAAGAGAAGCTCGGAGAGGGCCAGTTCGGAGAGGTAATACGCGCCCACTCACACGGTCACATACAATATACTGTATGTCCAACAGTTTGTAGACACCTGCTTGTTTCTGCTGAAGGGTATTCGTAGTGAGTGTGTACGCTCGTTGCTGCAGTAACAGCCACTACTGTTGTAGGAAGGTTTAAATTGGCCATACGATTTGGAACATTGCTGTGAGGATTTGATTGAGCATTAATGAGGTCAGGTACTGATGTTGGATGGTCAGTTCTGGATCACCCCAGCTCATCCCGAAGGTGTTGGATGGAGCTCCATCACTCCAGAGAACACAGTTCCACTGTCGCCAATACTGGGGGGCTTTATACCCCTCTAGCACATGCTTGGCGTTGGGCATGGTGACCTTAGGCTCATATACAGCTGCTCCAGAGTGTCCAGTTCTGTTGGTCAGTGCTTTTCTCTGGCATGTGCAACTGGCCATATGAGCAATGGGTGCACCTTAAAGCAGCTGAATCCACTAATTAGCAGGGCTGTCTGGATACATACAGTGTACACTCCTCAGCTTAGGTTAAAGGATTAGAAGTGTGCAGGGAATGAAAAAAAACAACAAATGTTACAATAATAACGTTATTAACTACATTTACTATTAATACAGTTTTCAGTCTGGAAATTTCAAGTGTCTTAATTCCTGTTCCAAGTTATGTTCTATAAAAATGTCTATCAGTTTTTTTCCTGATAGTTGTTTTTAATATGTTAACATATCCCTTAATATATCCTCTCAACAGAACACACTTAAATGTGGCATATTTCTGAAATTTTTAAAATTCAGTTTATATATATATATATATATATGTGTGTAAATAAACATAAAATCTAAAAACTTTGGTCCTTTTTTATAATGTAAAATTCAACAAATGAACAATAATTGTGCATTAAAATGTGCAGAAGTGTGTACTTTGTTGAAGAAACAAAACATACAGTTAGACAAAACGTAATCTGACTTTTGCAAAAGACATTGTGTGTGTGTGTGTGTGTGTGTGTGCATATATATATATATATATATCGCTGTTGTTGGAAGAAAACCTTGTATCTCCAAAATGGTAACTTTAGAAGAGAAAGAAAAAACCTACTTTACTTTTAATGTAAGTCAATGGAACCAGACGTCTTCACAAGTCATTTTGGGTTGTTTCCTTTAGTCCATTCATCATGAAATTTACACACAATGAAAAGGGCAACAGGTACTTTCAAATTATGTCAAAAACAGAAAAACGTTGAGGTTTTCTTCCTACAACTGATATGATGTGAACAGGCGGATTTGGGCCCCTTGATAGAAAAAACCCATTCGAGGTAAAACCACACTACGCCATGGCTTAGACTTCATCTCTTATGTAGTTCTTTGCAACTCTAATGTCGTTTTATACCTTTTGTCTTCCCTTGAGAGTGAATCAACACTGATGTCCCTTAACAGCGCTGTCCCTGTCTGCCTCCTCTAAGGTTCATCTGTGCGAGATTGAAAACCCTCAGGACCTGCCAACCCTGGAGTTTCCCTTTAATGTGAGGAAAGGTCGCCCCCTGCTGGTGGCTGTGAAGATACTGCGGCCCGACGCTTCTAAAAATGCCAGGTTAGAGAGCCGCTGTCCCGACCTCATTACTTCACCTACAAGCACTGGAGTACACAGTTAATCATGCATTATTACAGCAGTGTTATATGTCATTAAGACAGTCTTGAACTTCAGTGTGGTTCTCGTGCCATTCCTCCATCTCCTGTTCCACAGGAATGATTTCCTGAAGGAGGTGAAGATTCTGTCCCGTCTGAAAGATCCCAACATAATCCGCCTGCTCGGAGTGTGCGTGAGCAGTGACCCGCTGTGTATGGTGACCGAATACATGGAGAGCGGAGACCTCAACCAGTATCTCTCCCAGAGAGTGCTGCTGGACAAGACTGGACCACTGCACAACACGCCAACCATCAGGTAAACGGGGAACATAAAAAAAATTAAGTTGTCATGTATTCAGTGTTTTAACTGATGTTATTGTTCTTTTGAAGGGGAACTACACTGATTTTTCAAAATTCCTTCATAATGAAAAGGTTAAGATGGAAACAAAGTCATTTAGAGTGGTTTGGTGTGAAACGCTCCATTCCAGAAACTTACCAAGTCGGAATTGTTCACAATGGTGGTGATAGGAACCAGACGTCTGAAGAGGACGTCCTGAAGAGTTTAATGCCTCTGAAAGGTCCTTTACATAAACATATTGCATGAAATGGTTATGAATACACTGCCTGATGTCTGGGACATTGTTCCATGATAGTTTTGAGTAGGTTTTGGCCTAAAATGTATTTTTAAGTCAGTTAATGGCAGAGAGGTGCAGGCTGTGAGGCAAAATAGTCCCCAAAGAACTTTGTTTTTCAGATTTAACACTATTTTACTATCATTACATAAAACCCAAAGACACGTTTAGGTTCACTGGTGGTTTTGGACAGTAAATAAAATGGCTATGTTTGTGTTGTAGACATTGTGAACCCTGGTTCCTGTCGCCACCATTGTAAAGAAAGCCAAGCCAAAGTTTCTCAAAAATGGAGAATTTAATAGCAAATCACTATCAATGACTTTGTTTGCATGTCAGTAATTAAATTATGCGGAAATTTTGAAGAATTGGTGAAATTGCCCTTTAATAGTGTAGGTCTGATGTACACATAGTAGGCCAAGTTGTATCAAAATAGTGTTTTAACTGTTCATTCATGGATGTAATAACAATGTTATTAACCAGTAAACCACCATTAAAAATAGTTTAATATTTGTTTTCTATATGAAAATATTGTTTTTTGTTTCTTGTATCATCAGTACTGTAGACTGTGTAGAGATGTCAAAGTGACGGTCCTGTATGTTCCTCAGTTACCCCGCCCTGATCTCCATGGCGAGTCAGATCGCATCTGGGATGAAGTTTCTGTCCTCTCTGAACTTCGTCCACCGTGACCTGGCCACGCGGAACTGTCTGGTGGGGGGAGAGCTGGGGGATGATGAGGACAGGATGGGCGAGAGGCACATTAAAATCGCAGACTTCGGTATGAGCCGGAACCTGTACGCCGGAGATTATTACCGCATTCAGGGCAGAGCCGTGCTGCCCATTCGCTGGATGGCCTGGGAGTGCATCCTCATGGTGAGAACCGGTGGTGTTTGGTTGGGGGGGTCTGGTTACCCTTGGTGACCCTTATTATCACCATGTTTGATTCAGTTCTGTTTGATTCTGCCAAACTGGATTTATCATTTCTTATTCACACCATATACAGTACTGTGCAAAAGTCAGAGACCACCCTTCATTTCTTTAATTTCCCATCAGAACTGCCTTTTAGTTATTCATTTTTCAGGTGATATTTTTTGGGGGGAGATTACAAATAAGATAATCCATCTGCATAAATAAGGAGGAAAGTGAAAGGAAAATAAGTGAAAAAAACCAAGAGTTTCCAAAACTGGAGTTCAAATACAGATTAAAAGCTACGGAGAAACTGGGGCTCCTAACAACCACCAGGAAGACCTGGTAGACACCAAAACTGCCCCCATCAGATAAGCAGCACTTAAAGCTTTCATCTTTGAGAGAGAGGAGAAAATCAAGCTGCTTCAGATCTGAAAACATCCACAGGTGTTTCTGTCCATCCTTCCACTGTGAGAAGACGACTCAGCGCTGTGGGTCTGAAAGGATGTGTAGCTGATCAAGAAGAACCTCACTGAGAAAAGGAGACGGACACATCAAACA